CCGTAGAAGAGACCGTGAGCGTGAGGTCTTTCTGGAGCTCCCCTTCGAACCACGTGGCGATGTCGTCGGTTGACCCAATGTAGAGGAGATCGTCCACATAGACGATTAGTAGGACGTAATCGCCTCCTTTTGTGAGGCGATACATGCCTTGGTCATGCGGGAGTTGTTTGAAGCCGATGCGGGTGAGGCGGGCGTGTAGCTACTGCTGCCACAGTCGCGGTGCCTGCTTGATCCCATAGAGTGATTTGAGTAGTTGACACACTCGGTTGGGTTCGCCGTGGGAGCCGTGCGGGAGTTCGACGAAGATTTCTGCATCCACAGATGCGTAGAGAAATGCGTTTGCAACGTCGATTTGTCGCAATTTCTTTTTCTTCATGGCGGCGACGGCGATGAGAATTCGGAGTGAGGTGTGGCGACTGACCGGAGCGAAGGTTTCGGTGTAATCTCTTCCGTGCTCCTGGTCGAAGCCACGTACGACCCAGCGGGCTTTGAATTTGTCGATGGTGCCATCAGCTTTCGTCTTCACACGAAAGACCCATTTTCCGGTAAGAATGTTTTTATTTTGAGTTACGCCGATGGGAACAATTTTCCAGGTGTTGCGCTCCTCCAGTGCCTTCAGCTCTTTGTCCATAGCTTCACGCCATTTCTCCCTGTGTTCCCCCCCCAGAGCGTGCTGAACCGTCGCAGGCTCCTCAGGAATGCCGGCGCCATGGACTGCGGTGACGAGACCAAGGATTTGCAGCCCAGTCTGTGAGTATCGAGGGAGTTCTGGATCCTCGGGATAAGCTGCTTCGTCTCCCGTTTCTGGGTCGGGCATGAAATTTGGCCCTACCCTTTCTGCTTCGTTGGTGTTGACTGTCACAGGTGTTACGTAACCATCGTCGGCGAAACGGTAGAAGATTTCGGCGTTGTTACTGTCGCGAGGATTATCCTCATCCATGGGCACGTCGACGGAGCAGTATGGGAGAGGTCCGGCTTCTTCTGAGGCGTTGTCGACGTTCTGTTCATCCCAGTCTGCTTCGTCCGCTGCTGACGCGAAGGCTCGGTCACCACGAAAACCACTGGTGAGGTCCCGATTCTCGTGCAAGTTGGCGAGGTACGTCTGAAGGGTGAGTCTTTCGTAGAAGATCACGTCACGTGCTGCTACTGTTTCCTTTGTGTGGACGTCGAAGATTCTCCATGCGTTGTAATTTTTCTCGATGCCGAGGTGTAGTCCCCACTGTGCCCGTTGTGAAAATCTTCCCGCTCGTGCTTCTGGGGGTCTGTACTGTACCATGCACCCGAAAACTCGTAACATTTTCGTGCTGCCCTGCTTCCCTGTCCACAGCAGATGCGGTGATGCGTTGTTCGGGAGTGACGACGACGACAACAAGTTGTGCAGCATGACAGCGTGGTCCATTGCTGCTGGCCACTGGTGGTTGGGTAGCCGCATGCCACGTAACAGTTTGCGCATGCTGTTCTGCAGGGTCCTGTTCAGTCGTTCTGCAACACCTTGCTGCTGATGTGCGTAGGGAAGGGAGAGGAGTTGCTTGATCCCCCTTTCCGCCAAGAACTGCTTGAAGCGCTGAGAGGTGTACTCGCCACCTCCGTCTGACTGGAAATTTTTCAGTTGTGTTCCAGACTCTCTCTCTGCTATCGGTAGCCAGGCGGCGAATGCTGCGAGCGCCATGTCGCGGCTGGGTAGGTTGCGATGCCAGACGTATCGAGTGGCGGCGTCGATGAAGGTGATGGTGTAGTTGTAGTTGACTTGTCCTGGTTTGCGATTGTAGAGGATGTCGCTGTAGACTTTTTCGAGTGGTGCGTACGCTGGAGCGCTCGGGTTGTGATGTGAAGCAAACGGTCGATGAGGTAAGTCAGCTTCGGGACATATAAGGCAAGTCCCTCGTGCCTTCTGGAGTTCTCTGCCATCGGGTAGAAGTAGAGAGTCTTTGTCGAGGACTCCTGCTCTTATCGTGTTATTCAAAACCGTGTTGCTTGGATGTCCTGTGCGTGCGTGCCAGATCTCTTCAGAGGCGCTGTGTCCAGGTGAACGCTGATATGCGTCGGAGTTGGAGTAAAAGCTGGCGACAAGGTTGGCGCTTCGGTGGACTTCACGTTGAGTCGGATTCAGCTGTTGCGCGGGTGTTGGTGGTGCTTCGTCGACTGTGACTGGTGTCGTTGTTCCTGCTGCTGCTGATGTTGTTGCTGCTGCCGATGTTGTTGCTGCTGCCGATGTTGTCGCTGCTGCCGATGTTGTCACTGCTGCTTCTTGTTGAATCGTTGCTGCCGATGTTGTTGCTGCTGCCGATGTTGTCGCTGCTGCTGATGTTGTCGCTGCTGCTTCTTGTTGAATCGTTGCTAACGCTCTTGTTCGTTCTGCTTCAGGGATAGTGTGGGAGTACCAGAAACCTCCCGGGCTGAAGTCGGGGTCGAGATCCGGAGGGTGTGTCCAATCAGCAAAGTTCACAATGGCGTCGCTATCTGCAGTGCCGAGGTCTGGAGCGAAGTCGAGGACGAAGACGTTGTTCTTCAGCACTGCTTTCCCGATGTAGAGACCGCCTCTCCCGTGGTAAAGCTTGAACTCCTGGGTCGTGCTGTCGGCTTCCAGATGAATTCCTTTCGCCATCAACTGGCTAACGCTCAGTAAGTTGTAGCCGAGTCCTTCAGCGATGAGTACCTTAGACATGTGCAGTATGACATTTGTTTCTCTTGACTGAAGCTGTACCACTCCTTGTCTTCGTGTGCGCAGGTTTTGGTTGTTGGCAACCGTGATGATCACTTCCCGTTGGAGTCGATGTTCGCGTTGTACGAAACGCCCGGACGAGCACATGTGTTGCCCGCAGCAACTGTCCAAGAACCAGGTGTCTTGGCCGGACGGTTCACTTTGAGCGATAGCGGCGTAAGTCGGATTTGGATGGAGTGATTCGCGACGAGGCGTCCTGTTGTCGAGCTCCTCTTCCGGTGAGTAATGGGGTGGTGACTCTGTTATGCAAGAGTCGGTTATCTTGACCATGCAGTTGACTATATGTCTTGCTCCTTGTGCAGGCTGTCCAGTTGAGGTTGTTGAAGCTTGAATCGTGGTTGTCGAGCTTGATTGTGTCGAAGCAACTTGGGTGCTTGAAGGCCGCAGTTGTCGCTGTGGTGTTGTCTGTCGAGACGGGCAGTGCGTGCGTGGGTGTCCTGATGTCTTGCAGATGTGACAAAATGGAGGTACTAGCTTCGGCTGCTGCTGTCGATTGTTGTAGTAGTTGTGTCGTCGCTGAGTATGGAAACCAAACTCCGGTGCTAATGTCCTTTTCTTGTGTCTTTCTTCTTGCAGGTCCATATCCTGCTGCTCGGCGTGAATTTCTGCGCAAAGTGCCGCTTCGGAGATCCTCCCGTGTGCTCGAAGAATTGCTTTGGTGGCGCGCCACTGAGGACCGAGGCCGCCGATGACGACTGTTACGAAGGCGTCTTCAGAGATTGACCCTCCACATCGAAGAAGCTTGTCGCGCAATTCGCGACATCGGCTGATATACGCCAACCCTTTTTCTCCTGGTTTCATTTCAACTGTTGTCAGCTGCGCCATTAACCTGCTCTGGTTTACACTGTCTGTTGCCTGGTACAGGTTCTTCAGATGGCCGTACGCGAGTTCCGCCGAGTTGCCGAAGTTCCGGTAAGAGCGAATGTTCTGCTGCTGGGTTGGTGTGATGTTTCTCAGTAGAATAGTATACGCCATCATCGATTGATACGTATACTGCTGCTTTTCATACTGTGTCCCGTTTGCTGGATACTGCAGGGATCCGTCGAAGAAGCCGAGTATCTGCGCGCCCTCCATCATCAACTCGAATTCAAAGGACCAGGTAAAGAAGTCCTTTCCGTCGAAAGGTCTTGACGTCTGTAGTTTCAGAACATGCGCGAACTGCGACTGTACTTGTAAGGCATCCATTGGTTTGTCTTGCGCAGGTGGAGGTTGAGGCAGGAAGCTGATCGACCCGCGTTCGTACGGGGCGAAGGTGGGTTGCTGCTGTTGATTCCCTCGCGCGTATGACGACTCGTCAAGGCTCATGGGTGTCGCTCCGTTGTTGCTGTTGTGTGTCTGTGCAGGTCCCGACTGCTGGTGTTGCTCGTAGAAGGACATGAAGGAGAAAAATTTCTCCATCATGCTCTGGTCGAAGTCAGGAGGATGGTTCGTGGGGGTCTCGGTTGACGTTCCCCTTGGTCTTGCTGCCGTGCCTTCCTCTGTCTGCAGGCCAGAGGCTGGCGGTGGAGTAGGAGTAGTGCCCGAGGAGCCATTAGGGGAGCTCCTTTCCTTGTTTGTTGCCATATCTTGTGATGATCAAAAAGTTAGAGTTTTCCCCTGTCTGCTCTCATACCATGTTGGGCTGAAAAATAGCCCTTAGGATCTTTGCAGAGGAGAACTCTTGGGTAGAAACTTGTAATAGCGGAAGCGTTTAATGAGGATTGTGAACCGACCTTGCACTGGTGTGTGAGAGCAAAGTAGATTAAATTAAACAAGCAAATACAAGGATTTATATAAGAGTACAGGGAATACGAATAGATAGATAGATAACTGTATTGCTGTTGCGGTTCGATACAGTGCGACTCGGGCAACTGCTCTGTATCGAGTCAGTTGTGTGTCCTTAACTGTCGCGCTGTGATTGTCGAGTCAAAGGTCAGCGACCTTTGACTTTCTCGTAACCTCCAGGCGGTTACCCTAACCTCCGAGGTTGACTCGATGCTTCGATTGGGACTGCTTCACTTGGTGTCTTGGATTTTTATACGACAGAAGCGCACTTAGGACTTATTGTTTCCAACATTTTGCATGTTGTGTAAAAACTTGGGAAAATTGGACGCTGGGACGGATGGTGAGTCGTGCAGCTGTGTGCAACAATCATGTGGAACTGCAGCCAGATATGACATGAATTTGTGGGCCAGGATTCATGTAGGGGGATGGGTCAAGAAGTGCTATGTCAATAAGTTTCAATCAATGGAAGCACAGATACGGTAATTATCCCCTACAAAACTCATGCCCGTGTCAACTAGAGCTCATCGTGCTTGTCATCAGCATCCTCCAGCCCAGGTGCCTCGTTGTCCACGTCAGCATCATCTTCTGCTGACTCGTCGTCGCCACCCAGACTGATCGTCTCAATTCCATCCTCACCCTGCACACACACGACGATTGAGCATAGGAAGAAGGGGGACAGATGAGTGGAGGGAGAGGAGGAGGAACAATCTTCAAGTGCACCAGAGACGAGAAAGAGAGGACACCCATAATATGACCCCTCCCAGCCATCCCCAGCCCTACCCAGCCCAGCATGCCCACACCTGCATTCCCACACGCCCTACAGGTCACCACCACTGTTCTCATACCTTGCTCTCTGAGCTGCCCTCCTCAGTCCCCTCCTCATCCTCTTCTTCCTCTTCCACGGCGGCGTCGGGATCAATCTTGAGGTTGGTCTTGAGAGCCGAGAAGATGCGCGCTGCAAACTTGGTGGGGTCCTCCAGAGAGAAGCCCGACTCGATCAGTGCTGTCTCGTACAACGTTGACGCCACACTCACTGCTGTCTCATCCTGCATGCACAGACAGAGAGAGACACACACGTGCACCAACACAAATGCACACGCACACGCACGCAAGCACAGATTCAGGGACACAGCATTCAGAAGGCCAAGATACGAGGGTGTGGAAGAAACTCGAAACATGAGTTTCAGACACACAAAAACACCCAATGCCAGGCCCTAATGCACCGTCAACTTGCACTGCTGCACTGATTCAGGCACCAGAGAACCGTCCTGTAAGGAAAAAAAAAAAACCCTGAACTAGAATCCTTCAGTTCATGGAGAGCCATAAAAACAGATTAGTAGCAACCGCCTCTCCCGACGCACCTTGGGGTCAGCAGCAACGAGCTCCTTGAGCTGCTGCACGATGGGGTGGCGCGGGTTGACCTCCAGGATCTTCCTTCCCTTGAGGTACGACTGCCGCGACGGGTCACCAAGAGCCTGCGACGTCATGATGCGCTCCATGTTGGCGCTCCACCCGTACTTGCTGGTCACCACCACGCACGGGGACGACGCCAGGCGCTCGCTCAGCTTCACCGCCTCCACCTCCTTGCTGCCCAGCTGCTCCTTCCACCACGCCAGCAGGTCCTTAAAGCCCTCCTTCATCGCCTTCTCCTTCTCCTTGCTCTTCTTCCCACCGAGCTTCAGATCCTCCTTAGAAGCATTCTGGAACTTCTTATCGTCGAAGTCAGTGAGGTTCTGCATGAGGTACTCGTCCACGGGCTCGGTGAGGTAGAGCACCTCGAAGCCCTTCTTGAGCAGCTTCTCGATGAAGGGCGAGCGCTCCAGCTGCTCGCGGCTGGGCCCCGTGACGTAGTAGATGGCCTTCTGCCCCGGCTTCATGCGTGACACGTACTGCTCCAGGCTCGTCAGCTTCTCTGGGTCGTTCGAGCTGGCAGGGAGAGGGGGAAGAGGTAGGGACAGTGGGGAGGATGGAAAGACTTTGAGGTGGTGTGCTGGGTGGGACGTGGAGATGCGTGGAGAAAGGTTCATGCTTCACACATTTGATTCACCTCCCACCCCCTGAACCCACCCTTACTAAGCCCTGCACTCATACCCCACCATGCAACTGCTAGGGCACCGCACCTCTTGAATCGCAGCAGCTTGGCGAGGCGCATGCGGTTGGACGAGTCCTCAATCACGCCCAGCTTCATGGCGCGCCCAAACTCGCGCCAGAAGTCCTCGTACTGCGTCTCCGCGTCTGATGGCACGCGCTCCTTGTCTGGAGGGATGGGAGCAGGCAGGTGCAACAGGGGAATGGGGTTTCAGGGGGTTGTGAGAGGGGAATGGGAGGCAGGCACGGGATCACTAGTTAAGAAAACTAGTGAGCGTGTAGGCCGGTGACAGCGGGTGGTGGAAGGGTGACAATGGGTGCCACGTTCATACAGCACACGAGGGGGCGGGATGAACGGCAAGTGGGATGGGGCGGGTACTGACCATCCTCGGCAATGCCCTCCTTCTCGCGTTCCTCCTTGGCCTTAGCCTTGGCCTCCTCCTCGTCCTCCGCCAGCCGTCGGATCATATCAAGCGCCTTGCGCACGAGCTTCTTGCGGATGGTCTTGAGGCTGCTGTGCGCCTGCAGCATCTCGCGAGACACGTTGAGCGGCAGCGAGTCGGAGTCGACGAGGCCCTTGAGGAAGTTGAGGTACTTGGGCAGCAGCTCCTCGAACTCCTCGCTGATGAACACGCGCCGCACGTACAGCTTCAGCGCTGCCTTGTTGGCGTAGTAGTTGTCGTACATGTCGTAGGCCGCGCGCGGTGGGATGAAGAGAACGGCCTTGAACTCCACGTCACCCTCTGCGGAGAAATGAGTCCATGAGAGGGGCTTGTCCGTGCTGTAGTCCTGTTGGCGCGAGGGGAGGGAGGGGGGGACAGTGGGGAAGCGGGAGGGGGCAGGGGTGGGGGAGCATGAGGGAAGGGAGCAGGGGATGAGGGGAAGGGCAGCCCGTACAGCATGGCACACATGAGGCAGGGGGCAGGGGGCGGGGGGCTGGGGATCCAGGGGGGCGGGGTTACCTTGGCGAGCGACTTGTAGAATTCGCGGTACTCGTCGTCGGTGACGTCCTTGGGGCTGCGCAGCCAGATGGCCTTGACGCTGTTCAGCAGCTCCCACTCCCACTTGGTGCGCTTCTCCACTCGCGTCTTGGGCTCTGCCAGGCCACCGCCACGCCGCCACGCACGACGGAGGGAGAGAAAAGCGACTTAATGAAAAGGAACTTATGGGCAAATTTGTGAGAAGGGATGGAAGGAAGGACTTGAAGGGGGGGACTTTGGACGGGAGAAATCTCGAAACAGGCACACGGTGGCATTAGTTGAGAGTGAGAATAGTCGGGTGGGAGGGAAGAGACGTACTCTTCTCCTTGTCCTCTTCCTCCTCCTTCTCCTCGTCCTCCGACTCGTCCTCGCTGTCCTTGTCCTCCTCTGCTCATACCACCATCCGCACAACAAACCGCACACCACCAATCCATGCCCCAGACCCGAAGCCAACGCACGCCACAAAACACATGCGCACACCAATGAGGATCCAGTGAATTCCAACGGCGCGACATGATGTATTGCAGTACCAGCCGCCAGCTGACCATCCCACAAGAAATATATCTCTCCAGTTTTCAGAAATCCCATACGTATCGCTCTCCTCGGCCATTCCCAGCGCGAAAGGATCGATATGCGGTTACAGCAAAAGACAAGTTTATGAACAGCTGAGGTGCGTGGGACGCACCTTCCTCGGTCTCCGTGTCCTCCTTGTCTTTCTCGTCCTTGTCCTCCTCCTTCTCCACCTCCTCCTCGTCCACCGGCACCTCCTCGTCCACCTCGCGGCTGCCCCACATGTAGATGGGGAAGTTGATGAACTGCGAGTACTTCTTCACCAGCTCCTGCAAAGGCGAGACGGCGGAGATGGGATCACGACGGGACACAGGGGACACATGGGAGGGACAGCTTAGTGTCATGGCGCCCAACTGGTGTTCACCCGGTGATGTCAATGAGGACGTTCATGACCTGCGAATGCTTCTCTTTTTGCGCGCTGAAACACTATCGCCCACTTCCGCGAATCGAGCTTACAAAGCGAACGCAGGAGCACGCTCCTCCTCTACCTCCTCCTCTTCCTCCTCCTCCTCACCTTAAGGGCGAGGCGGCGAATAAGCTTAAGATTTGCACTGGGATTTGCATGAGAGCGTGCTGGGTATGTACCCAGTGCTTTCCAGCGTCTCAGAACCTTATAGCGGGTACATACACAAACATGGTCCCCTGCTTCGTCCCTCCTTCTCAGCTTGAGCTTATCCTCCGACAGGTACCCGCTCGCCTAGTCCTTGCAATGAATTCGGTATCCGTGTTTAAAAGAGCCTAAAAAAACTTATAACGGGTACACACCTTGAGCTTATCCTCCGACAGGTACTCGCTGGCCTCCTCCTTGAGGTGAATGCGGATCTCCGTGCCGCGCCCCAGCGGCTCGTCCTCCTCCGCGTCGTCGGGATACACCTCAAAGTTGCCGTCGGCGGCGCTGGCCCACACCCACGCGGAGTCGTCGTTGTGCTTGGAGCGCACCTCCACGCGGTCGCCCACAAGGTACACGGAGTAGAACCCCACGCCGAACTGACCGATCAGGTTGATGTCGCCGCTCTTCTGCATGCGCTCCAGGAAGGCTGCGTGGCGACACACACGGAATAGAGCAGGAGGTACGAGGTTAAGGGTCAGATGTAATTTATGCATCCTTGCATTCCTACCGCTTTACCGTAAATTTGATAACATTTACATTCCACGGTGGCCTTGCGAGACCACATTGCAAGCACAGAATTCGGCCGATCGCGTGCGAATAACCTAGGAGGAGAGTCGGCGGGAGGAAGTCTCACCTGACGTGCCGGACTTGGCGATGGTTCCAAGGTTCTTGATGAGATCGTCCTTGGTCATCCCGATACCGCGATCGCGGATCGACAGAATCTTGCGATCCTTGTCCAGCTTGATCTGCGCGCATCCAACGGTCACGATGAGCGCAGTGAGCAGGGGGGGATTAGAAACCATGCGAGAAGCAGCAACAACGCAAGGATAGGAAGGACTGCAAGGAGTAATATCAATGTGCGGATGAGGAACAATGCGCACACTAAACGCACGGACAGGACAGCAGATGAAGAGAGATTGGCAGGGTAGAGGTGGCGCGGCGCACCTGGATCTCGAGCTTGGTGTTGTCGCCCTCGCCCAGGATGGACTTGTCCGTCAGCGACAGGAAGCGAATCTTATCCAAAGCCTGAACACACGCGACATGGCACCAGGGGAAACGAGTAAACAAGAATGAGCGTCAGTGTTTCCCTGTTGTTGTTTTGTACTTCATAGATCAATGTATCAAGCTCAAACTGGTAGTTTAAAAAAGGAACATTGACGCGGGAGTGGAGAGGCACTGACGTCGGAGGCGTTGGAGATGAGTTCACGGAGGAAGACGTCCTTGTTGCTGTAGAGCGAGTTGATGATGATGTCCATCAGCCGGTGCACCTCCGCCTGGAACTGGAACTTCTCGCCCGACCGTCGCATCGAGCTCTTCTCCCTGCCGCATCGCCACCCCGCGTCGCATCAGAACGGCATTGAATGTAAATGCTGGAGATGTATTACATTGGCCAGAAACGCTGCTGAGGTAATAAGGATTGAGTATGCGCACCTCTCCTGGGTTTGGGTGTCTGTGGTCGATCCAGTAGGGACGGCTCCAATCGGCTCCTCGACCTTGGGAAGATCGCCATTGGTACCCACGTCCTTTGTCTCCTCTGCCTGCACTTGCGGCGCAGCTGCAAAGAGAAATGGAAACGCAATTTGAGCTTATTTTCCAATGCGGATACATGCAATTAAGAGCTTACGCTATGCTCGAAAGTACCTGAGAGCGTCTGGAATACAAGGAGGAACGCAAGGAGCGCCACAAGGCAGCTCCGCGGAGCCATTCTTAGGCCGGTAATCTGAGCGATTAGCTTTCAGAAGCGAATGGATGAACGAAGATCCTTGAAAGATGCGAGGACGAAAGAGAGGAATTTGAGTAACAGGGAGAGGAGAGGAGAGGAGATTGGGAGATGATGGTGATGGGAGTGGAGAGGAGGATCACTGCGTTTGGATGAGGCGAGGCTCGCGACTGACGGTATCCGAACGAATCGCAGAAGCACAGAGACGACGTCCAGAAGGTCGGTCAATGCCGTTTCGTTTGCAGCTGGTCGTTCACGATTGGCCGGACGTGGGGTGACGAGGCAAACCTTGACGTTCTAGAAGGATATGCGACGGCTAGCGGTTACCAGACTTTGAGTTCGCAGAAGGGGAGCTGACAGTTCCTGGGGAATTGTTTCCCGCCTGGCTTCTCGAGGGTCAGATCGCACAATTTGATTGGTTTATGGCACTTATTTGACGTGGCGTCCAGCCAGGACTCAAAAGCTCAACTTTTGGACACCAATGATTCGATACAGGTGAACTGCATTAAAATAAGCGCATGTTGTTGAATAATCTTGTGGCTTATTATTTTATTATTTAGAGGACAACTTCGTGGGCCATCAGAACTTGACTGCCCATTATCCCCCCATTCCACGCCATTCACTATGTCGACTATTCATTTTCATGAGCGGCCATTAAGTATCGCGGCTCGACCATCACTTTCAACCCACAGACACGTTCGTCCGTCTGCTGTTTTCCTCGGACCTCGAACTGTCAATGGCGGGAAAGAAATCACTTTGCGGGAACGTAAGCTGGCAAGAGCCCGTAACCAGTTTCCGCTGCAAGTAAGCCGAGGAGGTCAGGGGAATCGCGTGCACTGCTCCGCGACTAATAACGGGCAGTCCTCAACAGCTGCGGGCGCGGAAGACTGGGTGGCGCGGTATGCGGACGCTCTCAGGCTGCTGCCGCTCGCAGCAGGGGCGGCGGGCGGAGCGGTGGTGCTGGTGAACCGCGTGGTGTGGGGCATTCCGGCCGTCGCTGACGCGGGCAGGTGAGAGAAGCTCCTCGCTGCTTTTGTGCGCGTGTCGCATCCCCACGTAAGTGGAGTCCACCGCGCCGTTTCCCAGTGCGCGCCTCCCCCCTTTCCCCCACTCCGCCATTCCCCTCACTGCACGCCCCTCCGGTCACCTCGCGCCATCCATCCGTTCCCCTTCCTTCGCCTGCCGTTTCTCTGCCAGCGCGCAGGCACGTGCTGACGTCATCTGCCTGGTCCTGGCCGCCTCTATGGTGCTGTCAGGCCTGTCGTGGCTGGCGCTTCGACCCAAACCACAGACCCCGGTATAGCCCAACCCTGCCAGCGTTGTAAGGCTTGATCTAGTGATGGGAGGAATCTACACGTGTTGCAAACAGTAGCGGCCTTTCCTGCTGTAATGAGTTACTAATTCTTCTGCCTCTTTTATTCAGTCTAACCTGCAGTGCTTCCCTTCCTGGAATGTCTTCAGGTGGTCCTTAATGGTGTTCCCTGCCACCGCATGCTGCCATCCCTGCCTCAACCCGTTCAACAAGAGTTGAACTGGCACGTGCGCCTTCCCTCATCTACATTCTACAGTTCATTGAAATAGTGCTTGAGCATATTCTACAGCCCCACCGTTTTCCAGCCCCACCGTTTTCCATAATCTCACCTTGGAGTGGTCGTATTAGTCACCTTCTTTGAATTGTCCCTCTGTTTTCCATCTCAGGGCATGGACTTCTCTCAATTTCAACACCCCCTGCTGTTCACTAGTCATTATTTTCAAGGGGCAATGTATTCTGCAAGTAGGCAGCATGACTCCAGCACCCAACATGCCTGGTGTCACTACTGCTGCTACAGTGGATGCTGAGAAGCTTCTTTCGGGCTCCATCTGTTCCACGGTTCTCAAGTCTGGACGCCGTATGTTCACACTAAAGGATTGTGGATTGTTGGGCGGTTATCCACTTATCGGAATTCATTATTTTCTTCTTCACCACCCTCACCCCTGTGTTTTTCTCTATTGAGCAGCAAACTATTTAGCTAACCTCATTTTGTTTCCAGCAAGATACGAGCTCTTTGAGTTCCTTCCAGACAACACGCAGGTGAGCTCTTTTTGTCACTGCTCCCTTTGATGCCTGTATTTGGCGCGTATGCACTATAATTTTGCTAGCCCATGCAAATAAAATGTCCTACAGGCTGCAATAGTACAACCTCTAGGGGATGGAGACGGGGTGATTGTTATGGGCAGCGATACAATCAGAGGCTTCACACCTCTCCATCAGGTGTGGACAGAAGGAGCATTAATATAATTGTTTATTTGCTTCTAGATTTGTTCAAGTTTCTTGGCCTCGTATTCGTATCTATGGAATTGCTTCTTCCTCTTTTCGGCCACAGGTGTGGCTTGGGAGCATTGCAGAGAAGCTAGATGCATCATTGTCAGCACTCCTGGAGCAGGGTTGATTGTAGTGCACACTACGTCTGCAAATAGGATAGCTGTAGAATTCAGTAACACCTCCATTGGAAGACTCCCTATCATACGGTACATTGGATAAGTTGTTTTATTATAAACCATAATCTTTCTGTAACTGACCATCAAGCACATTGTAACATTCAACTTGAACTAGGGCACATTCAGAAAACTGGGGTGTCTTCATCCTTGGACTTACTAGCTGGTGCGGGAGCATCTGACGCTGTCTTGGTCGCTTCTGCTGCCGCATCAACAGGCGACGCATCTGGGGCAGCTGGAGAAGCATCGGCTACAGTGTTTTTGGCAGCTGCTCCCTCCGTTTCAGGCTCGACTGGCTTGGCTGCTTCGCCCCCATCCTTGCTTCCCTCCGTGGAAGCGGCAGCATCTAGAGATGCCTTCGCCTCCCCTTCAACAATGTTTGATATCTTGGAAGTGACACCCATGACGAAGTCCTTGCTGGAGGCAATGAGTTTATTCTGCACCAAAATCTCTCCAGCCTCGTTCAGCTTTGTCTCCGCAGCCACAAACGCCCCTCTGGTGGTCTCAGACAGGTGCAGCTTTTCATCAACGACACTCAAGGACTTGGCCAAGGCTCCTGTCCCTGCTTTGAAACTCTGTGAGATGTATAGCCTCTTGTCGATAGTATCAGCAGTGGCTGCAACGCTTGATCCAACAACTTTAGCTCCCTCTGAGACTGTTGATCCAACAGCCTTAGCACCCTCTGCCATTGTAGAGCCCACCACCTTGGCTCCTTCTGAGACGTTGGTGCCAACGGTTTTGGCTCCTTCAGAGATTGTGGATGGCAGGGCGACGATGCCATCACGAATGGCAGCAGTACCTGCAGCAGCAGAGCTAGAGAAAGCCAGCCTAGCATCCAGGTCACGGGCGCGCTGCATAGCGTCTTGAGCGAGGGTGTATCCTCGAGATAAGAGAGAGCGAACCATCTCTTGAGCTGCTGTGGCAATGTTGGTCGCTGGGCTACTCGGAGTTTCCTGAGAGTGTCAGGAACAAGAATGTTGGTAAGTTTCGATATCGTATATCAAAGTGAAGGTCATGCGCTCTCTCTCATCGTTGTGTTAGTGTAAACAAGTGGATGAAATGCGTGCCTACCTTCCCTTCTCCCTTGGATGTATCATAAAACTTCGCCGTGCTGGGAGGTTCGTAGTCTGTTGCTGGCTCCACGATTACGACCTTGTCCAAGATCATGGCACCCTGACACACGGGATTGACAGACGGATGAACGAATCAATCGACGCTATCAACACGCATCACCACACTCGGGATTACTGAACGCGGAAAGTGGGTGTACCAACGCGAAAGACTGTGGAATCCTACCGTCAGCAGTAGAGCAGTCTCCATCGACTTTTGCTCGGAGAATGTCACATGAGCAGTCTGTACGTCACCCTCCGCACTGCCAACGCGAATCACAACATGAAGCCGCACCATGAAATAATAAGTATCTTCTACTTTATGTTGATGAAAGGTATACTGGTGCGCGTCACTGTTGACAGAAGTGAAAGTTCAGGGACGTGACGTGTTTCACACATACTCTTTCTCAAGATTAATGCTTTCGATGGGTCCGGAGAACGAGAAGAAATCGTAAATGTCTTGAAGTGCCGCCTTGTCTGTAATTCCAGTCACCTTCACAGAGATCTGCAACGAGTGAGAGAGATTAGTTAGCACAAATACCGACGAGATTCTTTTCCAGGAAAAAAGTCAATCCTCACCCCCATTGCGACGATGAAACACTATCGATAAACGCTGCAATGTATCGCGGCCACGAATCCAATAAGCCAGCACCAGAGGCGTTTAACTTAATCCTCGAGATGGCGGTGTTGGGGAAGCAGACTATCCTTGGACTTGGAACTACAAGCAGCTAGTTGGAATCTGCGAGGATCCCTTGAGGTTGTCCTACGGGTCCCTCATCTGAAATCGCTTGGTGCTTCTTTGCTCACGCCAGCAGAGGGAATTCCACAGATCTGCGTTTTAGCTGATCGCAGTACAGCGGTACAGAATGCGAGATAACTGTATATCAGTACACAAACACCAGCTTACTTTCAAAGGAGAAACTTTAATGTCAAATAAATGGAAAGCTAACAGAATATCATTAGATAAAGATCAATGAAAAATATACACGATGATTTAATCAAAACACAGTATATGAGATGTTATGTTGAATGATGGCCCATATGCTGTAAGTTTTGCTGGGCTATTATCTGCCATTCAGTGAATATGCTGCTGGTATTCAAAGTTGAAACGATGTAGCGCAAACAGGGTCTGCCCTCAACAATGAAGACCAAGGAATCACTCGCGCTTCGGCTTGTGGACTGAAAACCATCTCACCGCCGCTGACGAGCAAAGAGGAAAGCAGCACAGGCAGATCTGTCCGTCACCATCACATCATCACTCCACCCCCCTTATCCATTTCAAGTTTATCCATTTCCAAGCTTAGCCATGGCTGCTAATGCTTCTACACTTCTTCTCGCCCTGATTATCCTCGCGACTATCTTGCCGGTAGCGCTCACCACAGAGGACCAAGCGAGAGATGACGACAGTCCTCAGCTTCCCGATATTCCGGACGGCGATGACGGTGACATTGTGAATTTGAGCGAGGCGTCGTTTAACGAGGCACTGAGGCAGCACGAGTACGTTCTCGCGTTGCTGTACAACAGCTCGTGCCCGCGATGCAAGAACTACATGGTCCAGGTGAGCCAGCACCGCAGCGATGCAAAAACTACTTGGTCCAGGTGAGCCAGCACCGCAGCGATGCAAAAACTACATGGTCCAGGTGAGCCAGCACCGCAGCGATGCAAAAACTACATGGTCCAGGTGAGCCAGCACCGCAGCGATGCAAAAACTACATGGTCCAGGTGAGCCAGCACCGCAGCGATGCAAAAACTACATGGTCCAGGTGAGCCAGCACCGCAGCGATGCAAAAACTACATGGTCCAGGTGAGCCAGCACCGCAGCGATGCAAAAACTACATGGTCCAGGTGAGCCAGGACCGCAGCGATGCAAAAACTACATGGTCCAGGTGAGCCAGCACCGCAGCGATGCAAAAACTACATGGTCCAGGTGAGCCAGCACCGCAGCGATGCAAAAACTACATGGTCCAGGTGAGCCAGCACCGCAGCGATGCAAAAACTACATGGTCCAGGTGAGCCAGCACCGCAGCGATGCAAAAACTACATGGTCCAGGTGAGCCAGCACCGCAGCGATGCAAAAACTACATGGTCCAGGTGAGCCAGCACCGCAGCGATGCAAAAACTACATGGTCCAGGTGAGCCAGCACCGCAGCGATCCTTGAATCGACTCAGGGAACGCACGAGCAGGGGGGCGGCACGAGGTTGATTGCGCGCTGCAGCCGCGGTGCCTACCTCGTCGTGCACGTACCGCCAAGTGCGCGGTGGTCCTAGATGAAACGCTTCCACTTTGCCCTCCGCCCGTCCGTGTTGTAACGTCCACACAGGTTTTCCGCCTACTCTTCGCATTCCGCGCCCCCCGATCTCCTCAGACGCGCCCCCTGATTCTTACATCCCCCACCCCTCGCTCCCCACACCCCCCTCCCCCTCCCCCACCCCGCAACCATCCTCCCCGCCCTTCCTCCCCCCCGCAGCTGCGCGAAGCGGCGGAGGCCCTGAAGGAGGCGGGCGGGGGGGTGTTGGTGGGCAAGGTGGACGCGCTGAAGCACGCGGGGGTGCTAGAGAAGGCGGTGGCGGAGGGCGCTGGGGACGACGGTGAGCCGCCGCTGTTCGTGTGGGCGGAGAAGGGCCGCCTGCAGCCGTGCGACGAGTTCCACAGGTGAGCGGGATGACCATCGAGTTTACTTGAATGACTGTTGAGTCGACTTAAAGCCATTTTGAGCTGTCTGAAATGCCGTACGAGTGTGTCCCACAATGGCACTGCGCCGGCTCTTCATCCTCGTGGAGAGGAAAGTCGCACGCGTTGCACTGCTCACTCTTTCCTCTCGCGTCCTCTCCGCGTGCCACCCACCCCTCTCGCAGCGAGGACGTGGTGGCGTGGGTGACGCGGAAGAGCGGGCGCAGCGTGGCCGTGCTGGAGCCTGCATCGCCCTCCGACCTGCCCTCTCTCGACTCGCTGCTCGACGACTCCGTCACTGCACTCGCCCTTGCCCTCGTGCATGACACTCAGGTGAGCATGAAACGCAGGTGAGCTCAAGGGAACCCAAGGGAACCCAAGGGTACCCAAGGGAGCACAAGGGAGCATAAGGGAGCATAAGGGAACCCAAGAGGAGCATCCAGGTGTGAGTCATCAAAAGTCACACCCCCCCCTCTGTGCACGTCCAACTTTTACCCCCACTCCAAGGGCACAGCAGCAGCAAAGTTCAGGGGCGCGTCCAAGGACGTGGAGGGCGTGCGGTTGTTAGGCGACTCCAAAGCCGCCGTCCTCCTTCCTCCCCGTCCTGCTTCCCCCCCACTGCCAGGGCGCGGCAGCAGCGGAGTTCAGAGGCGCATCGAAGGACGTGGAGGGCGTGCGGTTCGCGCTCACCACGCACGCTGCAGTGGCCGCCGCGCTGGGCTGGCAGGGCGACGCTGCTGCTGCTCTGGCGAGCACAGGCGCGGAGGGGGGCGTGGTGGTCGTGCTCAAGAGTAGAACCGACACCTTCCTGCAGTTCGGTGCGTTGCTCGCCGCCCATCCCCACGCGTCCCTGCTTCCCCGGGCGTGCGGTGCAGTGTATGTGCATGCGGTGCAGTGTATGTGCGTGTGGTGCAGTGTAGTGCGTGCGGTGCAGTGTATGTGCGTGTGGTGCAGTGTAGTGCGTGCGGTGCAGTGTATGAGCGTGCGGTGCAGTGTATGAGCGTGCGGTGCAGTGTATGAGCGTGCGGTGCAGAGTATGAGCGCGCGGTTCAGCGTATGAGTGCTCGGTGCAGAATATTTGCGGGTGGTGCAGCGTATGAGCAAACAGTGCTGCGTATGAGCGTGCGGTGCAGCGTATGAGCGGGCGGTGCAGCATATGAGCCAGCGGTGCAGGGTATCCCTGCCGTCCGTCCCTGCCGTCCATCCCTGCCGTCCATCTCTGTGTACCCCCTCCATCAGAGGGCGAGGTGACGCGCGGGGCGATAGCGGAGTTCGTGCATGGCAACAGGCTGCCCCTGTTTGTGCACATGGACGATGCTGCTGCTGAGCAGTTTGGGAAAAACACCAAGTGGCACGTGAGTGGTGGGGATGGCAGGGGTGGCGGCTGAGGGCTTGTGAGTGGCAACAGGCTGCCACCCTTTGTGCACATGGACGGTGCTGCTGCTGAGGAATTCGGCAAAAGAACCAAGTGGCACGTGAGTGGTGGGTTAGGAGTTGAGGGAAGGCAGCACAGGGCATGTGAATTGGTGCATGGCAGCAGCAGGTTCATTCCACGGGCATGGCAACAACAATATCATTCCACGGGCATGGCAACAACAATATCATTCCACGGGCATGGCAACAACAATATCATTCCACGGGCATGGAAACAACAATATCATTCCACGGGCATGGCAACAACAATATCATTCCACGGGCATGGCAACAGGCTGCAGTGCAGTTCTTTGTACACATGGACGATGCTGCTGCCCAGCAGTCCGGGAAAGACAGCAAGGGGCATGTGAGCAATGGGGCGGCAGTGGGGGGGGACGAACAGAGCTTGTGAGGGAGTGGTGGGGCGCACAGGGCTTGTGAGCTGAGAAGGATAATGAGTCACAAAAGTGGCTGGCTGCTTTGCCATGTCGCTCATTCCTCCCATGTCTACCCTTGCTATTGGCTTATCCAATCACACCTTTCATCCGCCCATTCCTCCCCTCCGCCCATGCCTCTCCTCCGCCCATGGCTCCCCTCCGCCCATGCCTCTCCTCCGCCCATGCCTCTCACCGCCCACGCCTCCCCTCCGCCCATGCGTCCCTCCCCCCCTTGACAGATCGTGATCTTCTGCCCGCGCACCAACTTCCCTCACTTTGAGGAGTCTCTCACTCCCCTCGCCAGGCAGCACGTGGGCAAGGTGAGCACGTGGGCAAGGTGAGCACGTGGGCAAGGTGAGCACGTGGGCAAGGTGAGCACGTGGGCAAGGTGAGCACGTGGGCAAGGTGAGCACGTGGGTAAGGGGTGGGATGCAAAGAATCGCATGCAAGAATAAGCCTCTGCTCCATCCCATGTACCGCAGCTCATCCGTTGCTGACATGCATGCCTTGCAAGCATGCCCTGCACACATGCCCTTATGCATTCCCTGCATTCCCCCCCATTCCCGCCAGCTGTTCTTCATGATGGTGGACTTCAGGGATGATGCCACATCAGGGCAGCCCATGGACTAGTTCGCTCGTTCCCATGCACACCACCTCACCCCTCCCTTGCCTGCATGTTCTGCATGCCCTTCACTCCCTACACGCCCCATCAGGTGTTCTTCATGATGGTGGACTCCAGGGATGAGGACACATCAGGGCAGCCCATGGACTACTCTGCTATCTCCCATGCCCAGCATCCCGACCCCTCCCTACTTGCCTGCATGCCCCCCACCCCTGCAGGTGTTCTTCATGATGGTGGACTCCAGTGATGAGGACACATCAGGGCAGCCCATGCACTACTTTGGCATTCACAAGGTTGAGACCGCAGTGCTGGCTGTGCTCTTTCAAATGCATGGCACCTCCCCCCCTTTGCACGCACGTGCTGCACATGCGCCCTGCATGCCCCCCTGCAGGTGTTCTTCATGGTGGTGGACTCGAGTGATGAGGACACATCAGGCCAGCCAATGGACTACTTTGGAGTCCGCGAGGGCGAGACGGCTGTGCTGGCTGTGGTCTCATACACGGAGGAGGGCGAGCATCACGAGACCAAGCACCGCCTCGCAGGGGAACCTACTCTTTCTAACATGCAGGTGCGCTCGCCTGCTTGTGTGCCCGGCATTCACTTATGCGAAACCTTACAAGGCAATGGTGTGGGCTGTTTTCTCCCACACCCAAGTGGAGAGCATCACGAGCCCAAGCACCGCTTGCCAGGGGAACCCACCCCTGCCAACGTGCAGGTGTGCCTGTCTGCACGCTCATGTGCCTCTGCACGCTCATGTGCCTGTCTGCACGCTCATGTGCCCTGCACAGCCGGCTTGCTCCCAACCACATGCTCCGCCATGTCCTGCCAAGTGCCTCCTTGAAACACAACTCACGCGTCCCCTTTCTCCCTTCTCTCCTTCCTCTCTCCCACCCTGCGGTTCCCCCTCGCCAAACCAGGAGTTCATAACAGCCTTCTTGGCAGGTGAACTGCCGCCCTACTACAAGTCCGACCCTGTGCCTGACCAGGTGCGTGGCCCCATGGCCCGTGGGGCAGGTGTGTGTGGCAGGGAAGGTGAGTGCTGTGCGCACGTGCATGGTGAATGCTGTTTGAGAGTTGGCAAGATTCCTACGTGGCAGGTGAACTGCCGGCCTAGCACAAGCACGACCCCATCCCTGAGGAGGTGCGTGCCCGTGGGGCAGGTGTGTGGTGCACGCTGATTGACAATCCACATTTCACATTCCAAGACAACCTTCTTGGTGGGCGACCTGCTGCCCGAGTACATTTGGTGTGAGCGGCCACGTGTGATGGAGTGGCCATGATGCATGGCAAGTTTTGAGGCGCCTCAAAGGCCACGTGTGATGGAGTGGCCATGATGCATGGCAAGTTATCATAGTCATGCATCTGTGCTCACCCATGCTTCCACTCCCCCCTTCCCTCTACACATGTGCGCCCGCCCTCCCACCTTCCTCCCCACGCCCTCTACCCCGCTACCCTGCTCTCGCGGGGCAGAACGATGGGGTGGTGCGCACAGTGGTGGGCAGCACGTTCAACGAGATTGTAATGGATGATTCCAAGGACGTCATGCTCATGGTGGGTGCAAGGTGGTGCTGCTGGATGCAGTGTGGTGGTGCTGGGTGAGTGGTGGTGGTGCGTGGGATGTGACCTTTGCAGCGACTCAACAGTGGTGGGCAGCACGTACTACGAGCTTGCGATGGAGGTGGTTGTGGCAATGGGTGAGGGATGGTGATAATGGGTGGGTGATGGTTGTGCTGGGCGAGGGATGGGGGGGGGGTTGTCAAGAGAATGCTTTTAAAATGGGAAGGATTGACATGGTGCCATGCCATGCCATGCTGTGCCATGCATGTGCATGTGTGCGGACAAAGCAAAGGCTGTACAGATTACCACTACCATTACCATTACCATTACCACTATCATTACCATTATCACTATCATTACCACTACCATTACCACTAACATTATCATCACCATTATCATTACCATTACCATTACCATTACCATTACGATTACCACTAACATTATCATCACCATTACCATTAGCATTACCATTACCATTATCATTATCATTACCATTATCATTACCATTACCACTACCATTACCACTGCCATTACCGTTACCATTACCATTACCACTATAATTACCATTACTATTCCCATTACCATTAAGAGCTTGCACGCGTGCAAAACCTCAAAAAGCTCGCATCCCCCACACCTTCCCAATCCGCCTCTCCGGCCTACATGCATGGGCAGCGAGTTTTACGGACGAGTGTCCGTCATGTGACTAACTGCTGCCACACGTCTCGCATCCCCCCCGTCCCAATCCCCAACTCCACCCCACCTCCCTCGCCCTTGCCATGGCAGCTAAGCTTTTCAGACGAGTGCCCCTCATGTGACGAGCTGTTGCCGCACTTCACGCGTCTGGCGGAGCGCCTGAGCGGCCGCCCCTCACTGCTCTTCGCTGCCATGGACTATGCCTCCAATGAGGTGCCGGGGCTCGAGGTCAGTTGCCCTCGTGCTTGGCTTGGAGGTCAGTTGCCCTCGTGCTTGGCTTGGAGGTCAGTGCGTGTGCGCCTCTCTGCTCAGCGCGACAGCGCTGACTGCTCCATCCAGGTCAATGCACCCTTGCTACTCTATGCCCCCGCGCTGCTCGTCGCCACCACAGACTTGGCCTCAAACGAGGTGCCGGGCCTCGAGGTCAGTGCATAAGCCCTGCGGCGGATGACCTTGGTGTAGAGACCAAGCTTAAAGATCACTCAGAAGCTTCCCCCTTCCACCCCCCCACCCCTCCGCTTTCCCCTCCCCCACATGGCCATCAGCTGGTACGCTGATGCTGATGCTGATGTTGATGCTGATGCTGATGCTGATGCTGATGCTGTTGCTGATGCTGATGCTGATGCTGATGCTTATGCTGATGCTAATGCTGATGCTGATGCTTATGCTTATGCTGATGCTGATGCTGATGCTGATGCTGATGCTGATGCTTGTGCTGGTACGCTGATGCTGATGCTGATGCTGATGCTGATGCTGATGCTGATGCTGATGCTGATGCTGATGCTGATGCTGATGCTTATGCTGATGCTGATGCTGATGCTGATGCTGATGCTTATGCTTATGCTGATGCTGATGCTTATGCTTATGCTGCTGCTGCTGCTGATGCTGATGCTCATGCTCATGCTCATGCTCATGCTGATGCTCATCCTTATGCTCATCCTCATGCTCATCCTCATGCTCATCCTCATGCTCATCCTCATGCTCATCCTCATCCTCATGCTCATCCTCATGCTCATCCTCATGCTCATCCTCATCCTCATCCTCATCCTCATGCTCATCCTCATCCTCATCCTCATGCTCATGCTCATCCTCATCCTCATGCTCATCCTCATCCTCATCCTCATCCTCATGCTCATCCTCATCCTCATCCTCATCCTCATGCTCATGCTCTACCCAGCTGGCAGCAAGAATCACCGTCCCACTCAAAACTCCTTCCCCCTTTGTTCTTACCTCCGTTCCTATTCCCTCCCCCCCCATGGCCATCAGCTAGAGGCGTTCCCAACGGTCATGCTCTACCCGGCCGGCAGCAAGTCCCAACCAGTAAGCCCCCGTCTCGTGTGCCTCCGTGTGTCCTCTCGTCCTTGCTCTTGCCACCTCGCCCACATGTTGCTCTTGCCACCTCGCCCACATGTTGCTCTTACCACCTCGCCCACATGTTGCTCTTGCCACCTCGCCCACATGTTGCTCTTGCCACCTCGCCCACATGTTGCTCTTGCCACCTCGCCCACATGTTGCTCTTGCCACCTCGCCCACATGTTGCTCCTTTGCGACTTTGGAATTCATCAACTGCGTTAATCGATCACCATGTCTCTTCCTTGCTGTAACACCCCTTTCCCCCCACCCGCATGTGATTTCTTTCCTCACTACCCACATCCCCGACCTCTCACCTCTCGCTGCCCCCCATTCACTTTCCCCTCTCCCTGCTGTATGGAGCCCCCTCAGGTGACAGAGAAGACCAGTTGGTGCGGGGGAAGCACATGGTGCTCTCTCGCTCATACTGCCCTCTCACCTCCCACTGCCTCCTATGCATGCCCCATTTCCCCACATCCCCCCCCCCCCCCCCTCCTTCCCCCCTCCCTCCTTCCCCCCTCCCTTCCCCCTCCTCCTTATTGCTGTGTGCTGCCCCCTCAGGTGACAGTAGAGGACAGGCTAGTGCGGTGGAAGCACATGGTGGGCACACTCAGGAAGCATGCTGGCACTGCACTGCACCTGCCTGAAAACCTGGAGGAGGAGGTGGAGGAGCAGGGAGAGGAGTATGAGAAGCAGAGGAGGAAGGAGGCTGCAGCGGAGCAGGCAAGGCGAGAAGCAGGAGACGTGAAGGACGAGCTGTGAGGCTGGCAGGCAGCGAGAATGGGCCGTGGGCGAATGGTTGAGACAGGGAGGCTGAGAGGTGAAGGAACGAGAGTGTTGAGACGCGGAGCCCATTGGCGCGTGTCACGAGCATTCCATTCCATTGTGACGGTTGAGTCCAACCCAAAGGTGGCCTTGGTGGAGCAAGAGAGAGTTGAGAGGGCCAGTGGCTGCTGACCCAGCACACATTCCGCTGCTGTGTGATGCGGTGGGGAGAAGCAATAGAAAAAAATGTGATGCCTAGCCTGCTTTCCCTGCTTTGCCACAGCCACACAACCGTTCATTTTGGCAATAACAGTCAACGTGGAACCCTCACAATGCTGCCCTGCCTACAACAATTTTGGCGCAGAAATTGCAATCCAATAACAAGCAGGGAACACATTCCAATACACTCTACGCCATTGACCATGCATCTACTGTATGCTCCCTCCAGCCTGGCACTGCTCAGGCATGCTACATTCTATCTACTTGCCATGGCCCTTGATCTCCCCTGCTATGCCGTCTGCCAGCCCCTCTGGCGTGTGATTGCGGCCAAAGAACTTAACAAACTCAAACTCCGGACTCATCAAATACCTGAGGGTAAGAGAGTGGTGGGGGGAGAGAGGAGATTGGAGGGGGTTGGTGAGGATGGAAGAAAGAGAAGACAGGAAAGGCGGCAATTGCATGGAAATAGAGGTGACAAGTGGCAGATGCAAGGCAGCAGGGGTGCACTCAATCAATGAGGATTTTGTGGCCCTCTTCCTCTGTCTCCATGTGGTAACCACATGGACAGAGAGGTAGGTAACAGACTTGCGAGAAGCAGATGCAAGGCAGGAGGGGTGCTCACGAGATGATGGAGTGATCGACGAGGTAGTCGTACCCCTCCTCCTCTGTCTTCATGTAATACACTCGGAATGCACGTGCTGCTGCTTTCACCTGCCACCAGCAGCCCATGTGCATGGTGCGGGGAAGGTGAGGGAGGGGGAGAGCAGGAGCAGGTAAACAACCATGAAGAAATCACCTGACGTACCACAATGAAACGTGCTGCACGGTCACTATAAAACATGCTGCATGCCTGAAGCATCTAATGGCAAGATACCAGCAAGGCCACCCACCTGTTCTGGCGTGCCTGTGAGGCCGATCATTCTCGGGTGGAACTCTGCAGTGGGATGAATGAGCAGGGGAGCAAGGGGTGCAATGGGAGCAAGGCAGGAACAGGAGGAATGATGAGAATATAGGAACGAGAAGCATTGAAGGAGGTGTAAGGAGGTGCAGGTAGTTTCAAGGAGGTGCAGGAGGGTGAACGTGCAGAGGGGTGAACGCGCAGAGGGGTGAACGTGCAGAGGGGTGAAAGTGCAGAGGGGTGAACGTGCAGAGGGGTGAACGTGCCGAGGGGTGAACGTGCAGAGGGGTGAACGTGCAGAGGGGTGAACGTGCAGAGGGGTGAACGTGCAGAGGGGTGAACGTGCAGAGGGGTGAACGTGCAGAGGGGTGAACGTGCAGAGGGGTGAACGTGCAGAGGGGTGAACGTGCAGAGGGGTGAACGTGCCGAGGGGTGAACGTGCCGAGGGGTGAACGTGCCGAGGGGTGAACGTGCGCACCTCCTTGACCTGCTCCGTGGTGTCTTGCTCAGGGGCTCCACCGATATGTACACCGGTGGTGCCAGGCAGTGCAAGGTGGTGCAGGGCGGTATGATGCGGTGCAAGGTGAGTGCAGCGGGCACGCACCTTTGACGTACTCCTTGACCTGATCAGCGGTGTCTCGCTCAGGGTCCACTGAGATGAACACCGGCACCACCTTCACTCCCACCTGCTTCTCTGCACGCACACACAGAGAGTAAGGGTGGGTGGGGGGACAATGGCGGATGGAGAGTGCACGGGGCGGCAAGCGGTCCCTTGTGACTGTGCATGGAGAGAAGGAGATTAAAGAGGAAGATGTGGCATGTGCCTTATGCACACACGTGGCACGCGCTCCCCTCCCCTCCCCCTTTCACACGCACCCACGAGGTCGACAGCCTGGGCGATGTTGATGAGCTGGCTGGGGCAGATGTCCGGGCAGAAGGTGAACCCAAAGTACAGCAGCGCCCACCGCCCCTTGAGATCCGCCTCTGTGAACGCCTTTCCATTGCCGTCCACGAGCGTGAACGGGCCCCCTATGGCCGCCTTGCCCACCGGCTTCAACTCTCTCACAGCTGCCGAGGGGAAGGGGATGGGGCATGGGGGAGGGGGGTAAAAGGCCTTGTATGGCCGCCTACCCACTGGCTTCAAATGCCTCCGAGGGGAGAGTTGAGGTTATGAGAGCACAGGACAGAAAGCAGGTAGCTTGCTTTCTCTCCTGTAATGGGAGCACAACTCTTCACAGGAAAAAGCAGAGGGAGAGTAGCGACGGATCCGAGAGACACAATGTGGGCAGAGGGCAGCCGTGGTGGGACAGGCACATGCGGTCTAGGCCCTGTGTGTCTTTACCCTTCACGACTTCTGAGGCGCCTCAACTGCAATACGGACATGCCTGGCCTCCGCCCTTCACTTGACTTTCTCCCGGGTTCACCCAAACTTACCAAAACGAATCACCCGCTCTCACCTTCACCAGCAGCACAACACACACCCACGCGCACCTTCCAGTCGCTTGCGCTTCTCGCTCTCAAAGTACGTCAGCAGTGCGCCTCCCGTCAGCAGCAGCAGCGCCAGACTCGCCCACGTCACTGGCTACCGGGGGGGGGAAGGGGGAAAAGGAGGGGGGGTGAATGAAGGGCGGAACATGAGGCATGGCACGGTGCACGAGTGGCGGTGGCAGCAGTGACAAGCGCGCGAAGGGGCAGAGTGGAAGGGGCAGAGTGGAAGGGGCAGAGTGGAAGGGGCAGAGTGGAAGGGGAGTGCAGCCATGTGGGTGGCAGGCACTACTCACCCCTCGCCTGCCATGTGGGTGGCAGGCACTACTCACCCCTCGCCTGCCATGTGGGTGGCAGGCACTACTCACCCCTCGCCTGCCATGTGGGTGGCAGGCACTACTCACCCCTCGCCTGCCATGTGGGTGGCAGGCACTACTCACCCCTCGCCTGCCATGTGGGTGGCAGGCACTACTCACCCCTCGCCTGCCATGTGGGTGGCAGGCACTACTCACCCCTCGCCTGCCTCTGCTGCCACTACTGCCGTCACTGCTGCTGCCGCCGCTGCTGTTGCTCCCACTGTGCTCGCCCCCGTCGCTGCTCTCCTGCTCGCCCTTGCCTCCCTCGTCCCCGCCTTGCCTCCCCTTCCCCTCCCCCTCCCTCTTCCCCCCCACTTCCCCCTCCCCCTCCCCCTCCCCCTTCCCCACCACTTCCCCCTCCCCCTCCCCCTCCGCCCTGCTTCTGACCGCTTCCCCCTCGGACCGCCCAGAGAGTGGCCGCGCAGAAGTGAGTTGAGGGATGACGACTTGCACAGCGCGCACGTGGTGCGGGACGACCTGCCGGCTAGCTGGTAGCGCCTGACGGTCAGGCATCGCCTGGCCGGCAACTGCCGTCGGAAACACGTTTGCGGATGAAATGCTTAGTCTCCTATTCTTCAACAGGGCGATGTCGTATTCTGCCGGTGAGTGATCTTGTAACGAGGATACTGCCACTGTCGAGGCGAGGGGTGCGTGGGGCGGGGGGAATGGCGGGGAAACGGGGGGCTTGGGAGAGACGAAAGGGATACCGTGCACTGGGTGATCGTGTGCGCGGTCCAGCGAGGTGGCGAACGGTTGTGATCGGTCCAGTGTTGGTCTGCAAAGGATCGATCGCTGGGCGATCAGCTGCGACTGCAGCAGCATCGCCTGCCATCGCACATGGCGTCTCGCCGACGCCGCGGCGAGGGACATGGGCGCGACGGAAGCGAGCGGCACGATGGGAGCGAGCGGCGCGACGGAAGCTACTGGCGCGATGGGAGCACGCGTCGCGATCGAGAGGGGCGAAAGGGGTGGAGACGGGATGTGCGGAATGGGCAAAGGAATGATGGGCGACGCAACGCACACGACAGCGCGCGATCGGGCAGACGGAAAAGGGGCACAGCGGAGTGAGGGAGCGAATAATGAAGGACAGGATTTTAGAAGCTCGGGTCGGATGGTAGGGGCGAGCGGATCTCGGATCTGACGTGGCACTGGAAAGCCTTCTTTCGGGAGAAGCTTCTTGCTAGCGGCGCGCGAGGGAGAGCGCAGAATGCAGTTTTATTCTCGGTAAAAACGCATTCGCCTCTGGCCAATATACAGCTGGTAACTCGTATACATAAATAGAATGAATCACTTGAATACATGAACGCTCCATCAAAGCACCATTTCACATTCCTGAATCTGGTCCAAGGCTCCGTAAAGCCCATTGTACGGGCCTGGAGCCGTCATCTAGCCTACGTTTTGGGTGAAGGGCCTGGAGGTGCCTGCGATACATCACAGCAGCAGCACATACGACGACACGTCCAAGATCTGGCTCTGTCGGCCTGCACAGAATAGGGCACGGCTTAGGAGGGAGTAGGGGCGGGCTTTTGAATGGAATGGTGTGGGGATGGGATCAATTTACGTGGAGCAATGGTGCCATGGCGCAGGGATGTAGCGATGCAGTGGTGCAGAGCAGAGCAATGACAGGAAGTGAGGGCAGAGTTGAGGAGAGGGTTACTGGAGGAGAGGGTGGAGTGCAAGGCATTCTGTGCATGCTTGGGCTGTGGGCTCACATGTCTTACCAGCAGCACGTGGAGGAAGGTGCAAACGAGACAGTAGAGGCGGGGCCAGGCAAAGTGGCAGGGGGGGGGAGGGTGGGGAGAAGGGGTGCATGGGGAGGGTGGGGAGAAGGGGTGCATGGGGAGGGTGGGGAGAAGGGGTGCATGGGGAGGGTGGGGAGAAGGGGTGCATGGGGAGGGTGGGGAGAAGGGGTGCATGGGGAGGGTGGGGAGAAGGGGTGCATGGGGAGGGTGGGGAGAAGGGGTGCATGGGGAGGGTGGGGAGAAGGAGTGCATGGGGAGGTGGTGCAGTGGTGGGCGGGGGTGCTGCCAGCCGTTGCGGTCGAGGGGAGGTGGGAGGAGGAGGAGTGGGAGGGGGTTATAGGGGAGGAGGAGCAGGCACAGGAGCAGAAGCATCAGACGCAGGGGATGGAGGAGGAGATTCAGCAGGGGGAGGTGCGGCAGGAGAGGGGGGGGATGCAGACGGGGCCGAAGATTCCCCTGGAGCTGCTGCTTCCTGTCTGTCAGCGAGCAGCAGAGCGGCCTTGAGGCAGAGGCGGCAGGGCAGGGTGAGGATGGAGAGGGCCGCGGCGTGCTTGAGGTTGCCACTGCTGTTGCAGATGCGCCATGCGTGGTAGTCCAGGTATTGCGCTGTGAGAGAAGGGGGCAGGAGGATGGGGCGGACATGGCAAGAGGGAAGAGGTGTGTAAGTGGGGGAGGGGAACCCTCAAAAGACACGGTTGGTGAGGACATGGAGGGAGAGCAAGGGAGGGCGAGGCGAAGAGAGGCAAGAATGACGGAGAGCGAGGGGGAGGGGGAGAGTGGGAGTGGAAGAGAAGTGCGCACTGGCGTTGGCGTCGAGCTGGTTGATGAGCACCCCCACTTCCGTCTTGTTGGGAAAGGCCAGCACGTCTAAGAGCGACCCAGGCGGTGTGTATGGAGGCGACTCCAAACAAACCGGGAGAGGGAGCACAGGGCTTACTGGCGTTTGCATCGAGCTGGTTGATGAGCACCCCCACGTCCGTCTTGTTGGGAAAGGCGCGCATGTCTATCAACGACCCCGGCGGTGCCAGGTGTGCCACGTCCGGGGCTCCGTAGTACACCGGTACTGTGCCTGGGGGCATGGGCGACAAGGGTGGTGCCTGGGGGCATGGGCGACAAGGGTGGTGCCTGGGGGCATGGGCGACAAGGGTGGTGCCTGGGAGCATGGGCGACAAGGGTGGTGCCTGGGGGCATGGGCGACAAGGGTGGTGCCTGGGGGCATGGGCGACAAGGGTGGTGCCTGGGGGCATGGGCGACAAGGGTGGTGCCTGGGGGCATGGGCGACAAGGGTGGTGCCTGGGAGCATGGGCGACAAGGGTGGTGCCTGGGGGCATGGGCGACAAGGGTGGTGCCTGGGGGCATGGGCGACAAGGGTGGTGCCTGGGGGCATGGGCGACAAGGGTGGTGCCTGGGGGCATGGGCGACAAGGGTGGTGCCTGGGGGCATGGGCGACAAGGGTGGTGCCTGGGGGCATGGGCGACAAGGGTGGTGCCTGGGGGCATGGGCGACAGGGTGGTGCCTGGGGGCATGGGCGACAAGGGTGGTGCCTGGGAGCATGGGCGACAAGGGTGGTGCCTGGGGGCATGGGTGACAAGGGTGGTGCCTGGGGGCATGGGCGACAAGGGTGGTGCCTGGGGGCATGGGCGACAAGGGTGGTGCCTGGGGGCATGGGCGACAAGGGTGGTGCCTGGGGGCATGGGCGACAAGGGTGGTGCCTGGGGGCATGGGAGACAAGGGTGGTGCCTGGGGGCATGGGCGACAGGGTGGTGCCTGGGGGCATGGGCGACAAGGGTGGTGCCTGGGAGCATGGGCGACAAGGGTGGTGCCTGGGGGCATGGGCGACAAGGGTGGTGCCTGGGGGCATGGGCGACAAGGGTGGTGCCTGGGGGCATGGGCGACAAGGGTGGTGCCTGGGGGCATGGGCGACAAGGGTGGTGCCTGGGGGCATGGGCGACAAGGGTGGTGCCTGGGGGCATGGGCGACAAGGGTGGTGCCTGGGGGCATGGGCGACAGGGTGGTGCCTGGGGGCATGGGCGACAAGGGTGGTGCCTGGGAGCATGGGCGACAAGGGTGGTGCCTGGGGGCATGGGCGACAAGGGTGGTGCCTGGGGGCATGGGCGACAAGGGTGGTGCCTGGGAGCATGGGCGACAAGGGTGGTGCCTGGGGGCATGGGCGACAAGGGTGGTGCCTGGGGGCATGGGCGACAAGGGTGGTGCCTGGGGGCATGGGCGACAAGGGTGGTGCCGAGCCGACAGCCCCACTTTCAATTGCTCTACCCTCAACGTGAACTCAAATGACGCCCGCTTTGCCAGGTGCTCCCTATACCGGAGCATACATAGTGCACCGGTACCGTGCCTGGAGATATGGGAGGCAAGGGCGGTGCAGTGAGGTGCAGAGTGGCGACTGCGGAAGGGTGGTGCTGACAGAAGTGTATTGTTGGGGAACAAGCAGAGACAGGGAGTGATTAGGGGGCAAAACGGATGAGAGCGGAAGAAGGCGGGGCAGAAGGGGGGAAGAGGGGACAAAAAGGGGGAAAGTGGGGGACAGGGTAGGAGGAGGGGAGGGGAGAGGGGGTTGGCGAGGGGGAAGGCAGGGCAGCGACTGACCGGCATCGAAGGGAATAAAGAGCTTCTCAGTGGCGTAGCTCTCCCGCTCGCTGTTCTCCACGGCGATGGCAAACTTGTACCTCGACTCCACACAGTGTGTGCGCGCTGTCCACTTGTCCAGAGGCGTGCTGCAGGGCGCGTGAGGATGGGGTGGAGGAAGAGTGGGGTGTCGGGTGGGGAGGGCCGGAGAGGAGGGGACGAGGGGCAACACAATGACAGGAGAGGTGAACGTTGACTTGCCAGAATCCACGCCTGCCGCCCACGTGGTGTGCTGGCGCATGGGAAGTGCGAGGAGCACACATGACTTACTTGAAATGACCCTGTGTTGGTGGTCATTTTAACCTACGTAGGTGGTGCGCGCTGTCCTACCGGCACGTGGGGTGGGCGATGAGTTCGGAGATGCGGTGCATGTTGAGCTGGCAGTGGCTGAACGAGTGGTGGCGCACGCACCACATGAGGTGGCTTGTAAACTCAACTCATGAGTCACGTTGCTGCCCTACTGGGAGGTGGTGAGAGCAAGGAGCTGTGAGAAGCCCACACGGTGCAGCTGTGGCCTACCGGCAGGTGGGGTGAGCAATGAGTTCGGAGATGCGGTGCATGTTGAACTGGCAGCGCCCGAACGAGTGGTGGCGCACCACGCGCAGAATGTCCTTCACCATCGCCTCCCTCCAGTGCACAGAACAGTGCGACCCCGCACGGTACAGCGGCACTCCCTGCATGGCACGGTGAAGAGGGGGTTGGATAGCGACAGTGGGGGACAAAAATCGGCAAGGGAGAACGAGTGGTGGCGCACCACCCGCAGAATGTCCGCACTCTACGCGCTTGCTGCGACCCTGCACGGTACAGCGGCACACCCTGCATGGTACCGCATGAGAGGGGTTCGGGGGAAAGATAGGGACAATGGCAGCACTGAATGCACACTGGCAGATCTGCAAGCGCGTGCACGTATATAGACAGTGGCGTGCGGAGTGGCTTGTTCCATGCTCACTCACAGCGAGTTTGATGTTGGAGACGAGGTCTTTCCGCGCCTCGTCATCGTTCATGCCCACATAGGTGATCTGCACGTCGCTGTCGCGGTGGTACCCCACCAGCACGTCCCACTGCGCGCGCTGCTCCGGGGGCACCCACGGGGAGAAGATCTCGCGGTCGGGCACTGTGGCGCCCGTGGGGGCTGCCTCGGGGTCCAGCAGGGCCAGTAGCGGCCGCTCGTGGGGAGGCCGTGTGGTCAGCGCATCCATGGCTGGAGGGGGAGGGCGGGGCGAAGGAGGGCAAGGAAAGGGGGGGAATTGGGTGGGGGGGCAGCGTGGTGAGTGCATCCGTGCCCCCCTGCCAAGTGGTGTGGTGTGACGTGGCGTGGTGTGAACAAGGCACACTCACCCCGTTGTTCGGCCTCCTTGAGAGGGCCGTACTGGCGCACAAAGAGCAGCACGTCGGGGCGAGGCACCACCTGCTCCTCCCAGGAGAACTGCCAGGGGCGCGCAAGAGAGGGAGAAAGAGGAGCGGAGGAAGCTGGGAGCTTGTGTGAGAGTGATGCAGTGAGCCGTGCAACCAGGGGTTAGGGCTCGACTGTGAGAGGACCAGGCACTCGCCGCAATGCACTCACGCCCCTCACAGCCCTCACGCCCCTCACAGCCCTCACGCCCCTCACAGCCCTCACGCCCCTCACAGCACAGCAACACACTCATGATGCCTCTCACAGCAGCACACGCATGTCGCCACTCACCGTGCACGTGAGGCCGCAGTGCGCGCACGTGTGAGAGCCCTCCAGCCCCAGGCGGTTGCCAAAGCGCTGCCCGAACCACACGAAGGGCGGCTGCACGCGCACGCTCACATGCCGCTGCTGTATCCGCGGACACTCGGGCAGCGACAGCGGCTGCATGAATGGGGCGATGGGGGCGGAGGGAGGAGGGGATGGGTGTGAGCGAGAAAGGAGGGGGAGGATGGAACGGGTGGTGATGCGCCCGTGCAATCATGGAGCAATGTGGTGATGCAGTGGGGGGGGAATGAAGCCTATGGGGGCTTGTACCGACCTGGAGCGAGGGGTTGGGAGGCCAGGAGGCGGGGTCGTCGTCTTGCAGCAAGTCCACGTGGAGGTGCGACGAGAAGCGCTCACGAAAACGATCACAGCCGCCGCCAGCCCGCCACTTCCTGTTAAGACACGTGGGGGTGGTTGGAATGGGGGAAGCGCGCATCAGTCCAGCTACGACGATACCGCATGTCCGTGAGAGCAACACCACGTCTCTAGCTCAAGCGCATTGCGGAAACCTTAATATGGCACGCGTGAATCCGCGACCGCAACTCACAGCAACTGTAAACGGCTTCAGGCCAAGCGCGTGCAGCAGCAGCATGAATCAGCGGACTCACTCGATCTCGAGCGTCATGTTGAAGAATCCCTCCTTCCACGTCTCGTTGAGACTAAAGTCGAAGCTCGCGTTAAATGCGGCCTCTTCGTCTTCCAATCGCCGCGCTCGACGGCCTCCGTACCGCCCCTCGACATCCTCTTGCCCGTATTCAACGCCTGACCCGCCGCTCCGAGCAGGCGATGCTCGCCGCTCCGCCAGGCGGAGTTGCGGGGAGAAGGAGAGGACTGCGACGGCGACCGCGATAAGGTATGCGACGGCGAGCAGTAGGCGCGACAATATAAGGCGGGAATCTGAACCGGATATGGCAGGATTGTTTGCACATTGAGTCATGCTGACGCGGTCAACGGCACCTAGATGGCTTTCGCACCAGCGGACTCGACTGCGGTGTGGAAGTTGATAGGTGGGAATTGAATCTCACCCATGCGACCAGTGGGCAGGCACTGAAGGGTCGTTCTACGGGTTTGTCCCCTCCCAGCCCTCCAGACATATCAACCTGGAACAAGGCACCCATTTCGTCTCGTGACGAAGTCCACCACAACACAACCTGTCCGGTAACAGATGTCGCCAACTCGTAGCTCTCTCGGGATGGCTTTCGCTGGTCTTTGTGGGCGCCAGCCATTCCCCCTTCATCTCTGCTTCGACCAAATCTTTTTAGAAGCTCAATTCTCGATTCAGTGTTCAACCTGCTGATTCAGTTCAAAAGGCCATTTCCGCCATGGCTTCCCAAGTTCTTTTTCGCCCGAATGTCGCAGCTGTTTCCCCTAGCGGTTCGCTCTCCCAAACGACTCGTCGTTCCATCCACAGTCAGAATCTTAGCAGTTCGTTCTGCCGTTTCCCGGCTCTTCCTGCGCGTTCGCCGGTAGTGACCTCTACCCGACCACTATCTGCTCGCGCACAGACTGCAATCTCGTCCTCTGGTCCTTCTTCGGGGCCTTTCCAGCGTGGAGTAGTTTCGTCCGACTCAACGCGTCGCGATTGGTCCGTTCGCGCTGCTGACTACGTGTCACCGGGCTACGAGTATGAGCAGGAGATTGATCCCCAGGAGGCCGCGAGGCGTGAGCAGGTGAGCGGAGTGGATTCCGTGCTCCGTTTTTATTGGCTCCTGTTAAATCGTCCGCATACTTATTCCATGGCGTTTATTATTTTACTCTTTGGCTTTGTGAATCTATGCTACTTTTCACTACTTCCAAACCTATTACGGCGTCCCCAGTTTCGTAATTCAACCACTCCCATCTTCGATTGTACCTTCCCACTCACGATTCGCCACCAGGCTTCGAAGCGGGTGGAACGTACGGCCAAATACTTCCGCCAGTTGGGAATTATCGGATTCTGGGGCCAGCTGGTCTGCTCTGTTGTCGCCTCCGTGATCCTCACCTTTTCCATTGTCATCTCTGGTCGGCCTACAGCTCCAGTTTCCACGTATCTCACGTCGGCTGGAATCGTGGCCGCATTTCTGTCTGTCTTCTGGTCATTTGGGTACCTCAGGCTGGCCGATCGGCTGCGCAATGCCATTGAGAACCCCATGAAGGTGGGTGATTTAGAGTTCCTGAGTTCCTTGCTCTCATCCTTTGATGGTGCAATGCCAGCTTATGCCTGAGCGCCCCTCCTCCATGGTGGTAACTAAATAGAATCCGCCCTGCCTTGCCGACGGACTGCTCTTAGCTCAGTAGGTTTCAAGGCCGTTTCATTCGTCTTATTCATCCATTCATATGCATAATCACATTTGCAGGCCCCTCCTCGCTCTTCAGTGGTGGCAAATCTCAAGAATGGCCTCATTATCAACTTGCTTGGCCTAGGAGCCACTCTCCTCGGCCTCCAGGCCACTGTTGGAGTGCTCGTTGCCAAAGCCCTTACTTCCTCCACTCCCATCTATGGTGCTGTCGGCCTTCCCACCGGCTACAACCCTGTTCTGGCCCTCGACGTCTTCCTTGTTCAGGTGCGTGCATGCTGATCCCCATGATTATGGCTAGCATCATCTGATTTTTATTTTTATTTGCTGCTGGGTCACCTAGTTGATGGTGAAATGCTCAGAATCCTCATAAATGAGCTTGGCAAGGGAAACAAATATAAGTATTATGTTTGCTACTTCCATTCTGGCCTCCTTGCAGGCGTCTGGCAACACTGCTCTTTCTCACTTTCTTGGACTAGTGCTGACCCTGGAGTTGCTGCGCGCAACAACACTTTCACAGCCTCCTCCTGAGAATGTCATCCCACAAGCATCATGAGTCATGACCAGAGCTGTGGGGGGCAGATGTAGGCTGTACATTAGATGTGTAGTCTTGAGGGATGTGCTTTGTCAGGTGCACTCAGCACCAGTATTGAACACTTCGATGGCAGAACCGTTGTCAGAAGCTTCGAGTGTCCCATTCCAACATATGACAGAACCAGCTGTCATACTGGACGTGTTTCCATTATAATCTGGTACATCTCTTCTTCCTGTCATTACTCCCAATTGAAGCTGAAACATGGACACTGCATTCCAAGCCAAGCACTTCCTTTGAAGGGGATGCTCTCAGCATCGCATCAGCCACTGCAGTTCTAAATGCAGATGAATGCTTGCCACAGTTGTGCCGTGCAGCATTTTCCAGAAATGGCTCCAGGGATGAGTGCCCCACGTTCATTCTGCAGTGTAAAGAATTTAGTGCAATGCAATGATTGAGATGACATGATTCAGCTGAAAGGCTGATTTGTGCTCCATACCTCACTCGGGGTTCTCCAAAAAGCTTAACCTCAACATTCCCAAATGGCTCATCTTTGTCAGCGGCTATTGTTATCTGTGCTGGTGGGTGGTGTCAGCCAAACTTACAGGCTGCATGAACGAAAAGACAGTACTTCATTAATCTCACCTCAGCAGGCCACCAGATACCCCGATCTTTGGCCCAAACAAGTGAGCCCACATTTAGTTCTTGTTGTTGAAATGCACCTGCAGGGGTCTGCCACAATAGATGTGAGTTGGAAAAAAGAAAGCCTTAAGAATGGATGCAAGAACACAGGCTCGAACATGTTCCGGCGTTTGAAAACTCACCATTTTTTACAGTTTTATTTATTGGTGCAGCAAGTAAGTACACAGGCTCGAACATGTTCTGGCGTTTGCTAACTCACCATTTTCGACAGTTTCCTTTTCTGGTGCAGCAATGGCCCTTGGCGCACATTCGCATGCTTCTGGCTTTCTGCCGTAGAAAGCTCAGCCCTGCTTGTCATAACCCAAGCTCCATGAAGACAGGAGTCCTTCGCCTTAGCTGCAGTCCACAATTCATCCCAGCTGAACTTTCTCATGCTGTCAGATAGATCCACAGTCAAGTCAGCAATGCTAGCTCGGTCCCCTCCTTGAGAACGAATCCTGAAGGGGGAATGCGACTTCTGCAATGACACACATGAAAACTGGTTAAGCAATGACAGCATAGGGAGTGGGTCAGAAGCATGCCCTTATGCACTTCCATCTTACCATGCAGTCCTTTGAACATATTCCGGCTATATGGGACTTCTTTACAGTCCGCATAACTCTCCCTACATGAACTGAAGGCTGCAACTTCGTGATGTCATTCCTGTGACTGCTGTTGACCCCCTGAACAGCAGCAGCAATGCATGAAGAGAAGATGCAATTCCCCTAACCAGAAATGCGGTAATACGCTTGAAATAGACATACCTTGAGAGACACCATTATCACTGTCCTCCCGATCTTCGAGTTTGGCTTGACCTCGTTTGTGTCAATTTGCAAATGGAGAGATAACCTTAAAACCTGGTTTTCCAACGATACCCAGTCCACTGAAGCTGCTCCAGAAATCTGCTCATCAAAAGGGCTAGGAGGAGAAGCAGGCCCTTTAAATATTTCTTCTGCAATTTCTGCTGGTTCGGGTTTAATCTGTGGTGCCGTTGCCAAAACTGGTATTTTGCCGTCGCAGATACCGGTTTTCATGTTTGTTTCCTCTGCATGCACAGAAGTTTTTCCTTGTATATCAACAATAAGCTGCTGTTCCATCACTCCACATTTGCTCCTCTGCTCCATTATTCCAGCGCTGTTAGCCTTCTCCAGTAATTGAACAAGAGGCCCGCGCATGGCCTGCTCAGGTATACCAGAATCTCTTGTCAAGTGGACATTCCTGTCAGAACTTGCCAAATAACAAAAACGGTCGAATAAATGAGCCTCACCGTGCAATTTTGCTTCAAAGAGTCTCCACAACGCTCCATAGAGCGGTCGGGCCCAGGAAACGGATCGTCCATGGATGTGCCGGAATTTACAAGCTTAGGTCGTGGTGTGGAAATGACCATCATGTTGCCAGTATCCGAAGTTTCTGCTGCTTCTCGTTTGATAGGCCTTGAACTCGTCAGAGTGAGCACATTCCTCCAGTCCGACTTAAAAACGTTCTCGGCCAAGTCCACTGGCGGGCATTGCTCCATCTTGAGAAGCTTTGCCACAGCTTCAGCCACAAGGCTTTTCTCTGGCACAGAAGGAAGCCTGGATTCTAAACCCTTCAGTGTTGTCGTCCGAGGACTTCCAGGCTCAATTTGGCTCTCTGGCGCTTGGCTGCCCAAATCAACAGCAGCAACTCCAGTGGCCTTCATCTCGACTTTCAGAAGTTCGTTGACAGGACTATCCAGCCAGCCCACCGCCATTAGATCTTGCTTTACTTCATCGAGAGGTGGCATTCGTACTTTCGTTGACTCAACGGCTTTTGAAAGCTCACATAACGGGCGCCACAGCCGCATTCCAACCAGAGACGCCAAAACGTCCTGTCAATGATAGGAGGTTGTAAGACAAGAACAATAACATTGAAGTAAGGATGGCATGGACACAATCGTACCTTTCTCGACTTGGAGCTTCCATCAGCAAGGCCGTGGATGGCGAGCACCTGCTCAGCTGCAAATTAGCTCAAGGCAAATTGGACTGACAAAATTCAACAACGTATGTCAAAAGCTTCACCTTTTTCAAATCCCCTCGTCTGAATTTCAGCTCGTCCAGACCCGTGCATGCGAGCACCTTCCCGTCTTTGTCTTCTCGCACAAGGCTGCTGTAAATGTCCGCATACATTTCCAAACAAAGAGAAGACTCAACAGCTGCGGGTCGTGGTTCTTCTTTCTTGACAATTAAGTTCACTGGCTGGCTTAGTCCAATCCATCCATTGTTCTCCTCCACAGGTGTTGGCACTAGTTCGGGTTGACTTAAATATTGGATATACGGGTCTGCTTGACTTTGCGAAAACCCCTGGTCCTGGCTTTGGTAACAACCAGCACCAGGTTGCGAATCTAACTGTGAGTATGTCACGTCTTGGCTGTTGTAAGGTTCACTCATTTGCGAAAAGGTCACGCTCTTTGTTTTCTGAGAAAGTTGAGATCTCCAAAACGACGACAAAGCGGGCTTCGGAGGCAAGCCAGAGCCTCCTGCCGGTCGGCTTGAGAGCGAGGCCATGTGATCTGCCCATGACCTTGGACGAAACTCCATTTGGAAAAGCCTGACTGAGAAGCTGCTTGGAGAATGTTGCGAGACTTGTGCTTGTTGGGGGTTCAAATGTGGAAGACAGCTGCCACTCCCGAACAGGTCTGTGCTGAGCTCGCAAATCGCTTCGGTTTCGTGGCTGACGCGTGACAGTGAGTGCTTTCGAAGAAATTCGTTACTGTATGTGAATCCATGAAGTCTATAAAATATATTACATGTTTCATGCCCTTTGACAAAAGAAGAGGGCACAAAGTATCTGACACTAGAAATGCTGCTTTTGTATGGACAGAAGAAACAAATCGTACAGTAACACTTTTGGCATGCATGCTAGCCAACATCTACCGCATTTTAAGCCGGAGCAGGGAGGCGGGCTTGTGGAGAAACAAACCTTGATTGAAAACTCATGGTTACCACATCCTGAGGGTTAACTTCCACGTCATGCCTGAATCAAAGAACCACATGGCAAAAATGGGTAGAACAGAATGGTCAGAAGGGCCCCACAAGCAGGAAGGGCACCAACCAAGCCAGACATATGCACAGCAAAGGCGGGAGGTGGACACTGGAAAGGCAGCGAGAACAATGAGGAGGATGGTACGCAAGGCACAATGGCTGTGTACTTACATAAAGACAAACTCTGGTATTGTTATTTGTTCTCGCGATACGTGTCTGAACAGCTCAAGCAATCTGCCCACATACTTCACTTTCTTGAACACCTGAATGCATAAAAGGAAAAGAAAAAAAAAATGTTTAAAGTCACATACGTGTCACAAACAAGCTTACACCATCCAACATTTCACATGCATGTTTGCATCGGATCATGCAGCGCACACAGAACAATATAGACTACCAATTTGTGCACGTCTTACCAGTGGGTCCACCAGCAGTTGCATGCCCCACACAGTTCCCTTGAGCCGCATGTCTGGATGCACTGCATACACCGTCTGACACAAACAACAGCCGGGAACACGTGAGCTTAAAGCTACTAACACACCAGCACTCAGACATGGCTTAGTGTGATCCCTCTGAGAAGACATATAAAGCAACCCACCAGTGAGATGCCACACCGCCACAACCAACAGACTCAGAGTGCCCGAGAACTCACATGCAGGTTCGTTCTGAACTTGGGTCCGAGCACATTCAGGAGGCGCTTCATCCACCCATAATCGGCCATGCTGCATGGCGTAGGCAATTCCAGCAATGGGGATGGATGGATAGCCAATGGGACAATGCATCTCCCATGGCATAGATGACATCAACAAATTGCATTACACATTGGCGCATGTTCAGATGGGGAGATGGCAAATTTACCGAGTACACGTGTGCGCAAATAGAAAGGGGCACTGTGTGGAAGAGGCATGGGTGGTCAGGCATCAGAAGCGTGGCAGGTGGAGGGTCACACGAGGAGCTGACAAGAAGGGACAACTCACGCTGGTAGGGTTGTGGCAGCATGGAAATAAACAATGGTGAAGGGGCGGTGAAGAATGGGCTCAAACTCCTGTTGGGGAAGACGCATGGTGTGGTGGAGGTACGTACATCGTACAAAGCAGAGATGAGCATGAGGAAAGAAAGCTGAGAAAGGTTCCTTGAACGAGAGAACCAAAGGCCGCAAGCAACCACTGCAATTCACAAGCCATGTTGGGGCGCCTGCAGAGCGTGGGTTGGGACTGACCTTGACGGCATGGAAGATGAAGCTCTCGAGGTCCAGGCACCGCACGAGGAAGTGCGCCCCCACCACCACCATCACACTGCGCCCCGCTGAATCCGTGCCTCCGCGATACCTGTGTGCTCCGTGTGCGTGCGTGCACGAGAAAGAGTGAGAAAGGTACAAATAAGAAGAAGACGGACGTCACGTGTGGATGAGCTGGCAGTAGCAGAAGCCACAACCTACACTACAGCAAACAGGAGTGTGCTACTCACAGGACGAGGAGTTACTTTACTGTGCCACTCACAAACGGCATTGCCATGCCACTCACATGATGCGCATGTCCTGCACTTCAGTGAGGTCCAGCTTCTCAGCGCGCGCCAGGTACCGCCCGTGCAGCGCCAGCTGCTCGCCAGCAGTCAGCAGCGACACAACGGTGTCCCCCAGGTCGAGCCCCAGGCAGCGCGCCCACAGCCAGATCCACCCCGTCTGTGCCGACGCCACGGCATGCTCGCGCTGCTCCACACGGCGCTGGTCGGGGTCCTTGGCCATGCTGATGAAGGCTGGGTCCAGCAGCGAGTCATCGAACGCGGATGATGAGAGTGTCAGCTGCCCTGGTGGCTGTGCTGGGATGAGCGCACTTGATGTGGACGCGCTGGGGGTTGGGAAGAGGGGAGGGAGAAAGGGGAGCAAGGAAGACATGCAGAGGAGCGAGCAGATGGCACAGGAAGACGAGTGGGTGTTGTGAGTTTCAGCTGGCTTTCACAGTTTTCTATGCGTTATGGTGCTGGCGCAGACTGCTGTACTTCCGCGCACCCGTTTGCAGCGGTGGAGGCGGGGGGCAGGCCGGGCATCTTGGAGATGCGGATCATGCGCTCCGCGATCACTATCTCGCCATTCTCATCGCCCACGTCCGCCGGCAGCAGCGCCTGCGCTGCCATCTCCTCACTGCTGTCCCGCGGGAAGTAGAGCGGTAACAGCCTGCGCGGGGCGAGCGAGGGGCAGTGGGGAGAGCATGGAGGAGTGAGCGAGGGAGAAAGAGAGGGAGTGGGAGTGGGAGTGGGAGTGGGAGTGGGAGTGGGAGTGGGAGTGGGAGAGGGAGAGGGAGAGGGAGAGGAGGTGGGAGAGGGAGTGGGAGAGGAGGTGGGAGAGGGAGTGGGAGAGAGAATGGGAGTGGGAGTGGGATTGGCAGTGGAAGAGGAATGGAAGCACATCAAGACTGTGGGGCGAGAAGCAAGTACGTACAGTGAGAGGGGGATAAGGTGATTGGCAACACAGGAAAAGCAAGATAGGAGTGTGGGGTAAAAGGGGAGGCGAGGGTAGGAGAGCATGAGTGCATGTGGGGTAAAGGAGCGCAGAGGCATGCACCGTTTGTAGATGAGGTGGTCGTCGTCCGTCTGGATGCAGAACACCACCGCCGCCATGCCCCGCCCGTGCTTCTCCAAGAACCGCCTCACCGTGCCTGTGGGGCATGGGGGGCCCAATGGGGCACATGGGGCCAGGGATGGGCAGGACAGGGTAGGTGGGCAGGCAGAGGAGGAAGAGGCGCTCGAGGGTGTAAGGTGGCAGTACGGTGAGAACAAGTTAACGCTCTGAAATGAGGGGATGATGTTAGGAACCGGTGCTCTGACACAGCTACACATGTGTAAAGGAGGAAGCTTGCAGCAAGGGGCACTCAAGGGACGGTACAGCATTGTGACGTTACTAGTCGAATAAAAAATCGGTACGGTGGGGACGGGGAGTGGCTTACGGATGGCGACGTGAGCAGCGGGCTCCCTGGGATACCCCTTCGCCTCTGAGTAGATGGGCAAGAGCGCTATGCTGCCATGAGAGGATTGTGACAAGAAGGAGCGGGAGCCAAGTGTGGGGGGAACACGGTAGGGAAGAAAGGTGGCCAGAAGGAGGGACGAGAACGGAGAAGCATGAGAAGCAGCACACATCTAGCCTCACCTCACCTCACTCACTTTGACCAACGCTTTTGCTTAAAGCGAATCTCATCACCCCTGTTCCTGACCTCCTTCTCCCTACCCTCCCGCCACTTCCCATCCAAACCCCCACCCATTTTCCTCTCTTCCCACATTCCCTTCGAATCCTCCCCCCCACTCCCCCTCCCCCTGCCCACCTGCGCAGTTCGTTCTCAAGCAGCAGCTCGAGGCAGATGCGGTAGCAGCGGCTGAGCGCGTTCTCCGCGGCCGTCTGGTACTTGTCCGTGTACCGCGGCCCCACTGTGTGGATCACGCGCCTGCCACATGCCGTGCACACACCCGCGGAACGGACGTGGGGGCGGTGAGGTGGGCGGTAGAGCGGGGTCAGGGCGTGAGGAATAGCGGGGTGAGGGAAATGAAGGGGATGAGGCGGGTGAGGGAATGCGAGGAGAGGTTACGGCGTGGCGGAGAGTGGTAGAGAGGGGTTCACCTGGCGGGCAGCTCGTACGCGCCCGTCATCTTCGCCTCGCCTGTTCTGCATCCCCCCTGCACGCGTTGCGCACAGCACGGCACGCACACACACGGACATGCGCGTGAGCGATCAGATTCGCACGTGCAGCGACGCAATGCCTTTACCGCCAACCCCCGTGCCTCTCCCAACACTTCCTCGTGCACTGCAACTAGCCACATATCCCCTCGGCCCCACGCACTCCTGCAAACAAATCCCGACACTGACAGCCCCGACACGCATAGCAGCATCAGCAGCAGCAGGGAAGGAACGGACGGGGCGCGGCGGGCACGGACCAGCGTGGCGCATTCCTCGGCGAGGCCGGGGCCGGCTTCGTCGTGCAGGCCGGGCGAGGAGAGCGCGGGGTCGAGGCTCTCGCTCGTCGAGTTCACCACAGCGTCCACCTCCAGCGCCCACGGCGCGCCGCGCCACACGTACACCTTCGCGTTCAGCTCCGCGTTCACCGGGAACTTCGGCGCGCCTCCGGATCCGCGGCCACGGCCGCGGAGTTCCAGGCCGTGCGCCGAGAGCGGGTCGTCGAACCCGCCTGGGTCATCGTCGCCCGCCGAGCTCGTCGAAGCGATCGCCGTCGCGTAGCTTGGCGCGCCTGCTGCGAATCCCGCGCCCGACGCACCGGGATCTCCGTCTAATGCGGTGACTCCTAGTCCAGGCGGCTCGAGCCCCATGAGGTCCGCCGCGATCGCGATGTCGCCCAGCGCCGCGCCTCCGAGCGCCGCCGCGCCGAGCTCCTGCTCCGTCCATCGCGGTATCTGGTCGAGCCGCACCACGCCCGGCGCTGCGGCCTTGGGGTACATCATCCTGCGACCCACGATCGCACGGTCGCTGGTCCCTGTTGAGCGACGCGCACAGTGCGACGGTGAGGAAAGGAGTTTGTGACTAGGAAGCAACAACGCTGAGCATTCTTACTGCAAGAAACTACAGACGCTTATCGGAAAAATAAGTCCGCTATCGCGGTCATCAGTAAGAATCTTCCCCAACATCAACTAGGTGCTATCAGAAATGCTGTCGCTAATGACCTGCGTGCTAGTTTCCCTAGAAGTTGGATGGCTGTGTCTCGGTGAGCTTGGAAAAAAACCAGGACAAACGACGGCACGGCTGAATGTGGTTCAGAACGGTTATACGGACATCTGGGGAGTTGGGGTGTCAGGTTGCCAAGGATCAAGGTTCAAGGTTCCGCGAAGTGTGGAAGTCTCCCGCCGCTCCGTACATGCACACACATCCCCGCCGCTCGATACTGTCACGTCTGACAGGGAACATAATTTCGAGGGAAAATGTTGAATGAAAAGCAGCACCCTTGCGCCCAGCCTGCACAGAATTAATTTCTATTCAACGTGATGCTTCAAACGCGGACACTGGTCACGATCATTTTGGTCGTGAAGCGACACAGAGGCCCTGTTCTGTTGGCGCACAGGCCATTCGCAGCTGCTGTACAGGTACTGCGGGCAGCGTTTTCCTCGATAGAAAGGGAGGGCCTGAATCCTCGTCGAAGGGTTAATCGACAAAAATACTAACTTTTTTCTCCCGTGTGCCCAAAAAAATGTTGTTACACACTGCCCTGGCACTCTTCAAAACTCAAAATTTCGCAAATTGATGCACTCGATGTGGCAGTCTTACTGGTTAGCCGTTGGATTCTTTTTAGGGTGAGTATTCCACCAAAACAATACCCCAAAACGGGCGTTTGTATCTGCCCGTTATTTGTTGTGCGTCTCTTCATTCCCCCCTCGACGAGCGCATAGGGCTAGCACAGGCCATGCGGGAAAATTGCTAGTGAAACCAAGCTCGTGGAATTTTCTCAGCGCACAGAGAGTTATGCGTTCTTGCGCACGCATGAGTGATGCGCGCACAACTCCCGCACCAGAAGCTCGATGTGGGCTTTAAGCCTTGTTATGCGCATTCCGAAAATGTTCAGCGTTGGGGCTGAGCACCCCTTATGCGCCAACACAACAGGGCCAGAGATGATGGGATCATGGGATAGATCATAGAAGCAATGGTTAGTCTGAAGAGACTTCTAGTCGGCTTCAACTGATCGCAGCAATGGCAACCGTCGCTTCTCCTCTGCCAGTTCGGCCTCGTTCAGGCCACTAAGTCACATGACGACAATCAATAGCCTGATGTTACGAATAGTAATTACTGAAATACTATTGTGCACTCCTCACCGCAGCAAACGCAGCATGCACTATCGAGACTGAAGATGAAGGGGCGCAAGTGACGCGAAGGGTCACACGGTTACGAGAAGCATCTGGACCGTCGGGCAGACAGCATCAGGCAGCAGTAGTGGCGAGGATTCTGCCCGAACGGTTTCGTAACCACCAGGAGTCGCACGGTTGGTTTCTCGATGCAATAAGGGAATGTACCCCTTAGAGTACATGGCTAGCTAGGACGTTTCGAATTTGTACTGCATGTTTTTATTATCTCAAGCATTTACATTCACTCTGCTATTGAGGTCAAGGGCCCACCACCGCTAGACTAGAAGTGTGCGAACCTTCCCGAGGTGATCCTGAGAACGATCAACTTCTGATCGCAACACCTGATTCCCAGCTATCTTGCTTCGCGCAACTTGCGCGAAATTTCGGCCCCAAAAAAGTATGCTAAAAGAATGTTGTAACATAGTTCAAAGTATGTGAAACGGAACATACTTGTGACATTACGTGGATCAGTGCTGGGGGATAGTTGCTGCATACCTCGCTCATAGTTTTTGCACACCCACATCTTGCTACAAACACTCCTTTCCCCCACTAGGGGAGCCACGACAGGGGGTAACTTGTTTCTGTATAAAGTTGTGTAACATTTTTGTGCAGTAAGAAACACAATAGTTAATACTTTTTACTTGGAAATTGTAATATAGAATTTGTGACAATGAAACAACAACCGTTATAAAAACATCCACTCATTATAGGCAGCATTTTGTATTGTCATGTTTGTCTACCAGCAGCATGGCATTCTATTGCATGTGCTTTTTAGATTGTGAATCAGTTTTATACGATCAAAATTAGCTAACAGTCACACAGGCGCAATTCAAACACAAAATATCAGAGGTGCATCCCGGCCCTACAGGATAAAGCCTATAAATACTCCCCATCCTTGTGTCTTGCCCGCATGGGCAACCGATTGGCTTCCAAAAACTTGGTACATGCTCTTCCCTATTTACCGTAGTGCAGGGGGAGGCGGGGAGCCTCAAGCATCAGAGGAGCATCATAGCAGTAGAATGTGCCCATCACTGCCTGCCTTCCCCTCTGCTTCCACATCCCCCAGCACTTCCTCCCACTCTGCTCCCACATCTCCCTCATTGGTACCCCCCCGTCTCATGTCCCCCATCGCTGCCGGCCCCATTGCTCCCTCATCCTCCTGTCATGCATCCCTTACTGCTCCCCCCTCCCCCCGTTGATGCCTCCACTTTAACTGTCAGATCCTCCCAATGCTGCCTCCCCAGCTACTGCCCCTTTCCCCCCAATGCTGCCTCCCCAGCTACTGCCCCTTTCCCCCCGATGCTGCCTCCCCAGCTACTGCCCCTTCACCCCCGATGCTGCCTCCCCCGATGCTCCCCCATTCCCCCCGTCGCTGCCTCCCTCGATGCTCCCGCTGTCTCATTGCCCGCGTTGATGCCTCATTCCCCTCATCACAGCTGATTGATTGAATAGAACCTGTCAACGAGGTCCAGATACAAGTCATCCAGCACATGATGATGAGCGAAAGGGTGGTTTTGGGGGGGGAGGTGGAGGGGAAAGCAGAGGGAGGGGCGGGAGCGGAAAGGGAAGGTAAGGAAGGGAGGAGCGGAAGAAGGTGGGGGGGGGACAACAATGGCTGCTACTGCCAGTGATGCTGCTGCTGCTGCTGCCAGCGATGCAGCTGCTGCTACCGCTTCATCGCATTGCACCGCTCACCTGCACGTCCATGAGCACAATGTCGAAGGAGTGTGCCTGCAGGCCGCGGATGGCATCCTGGCTGTTGGCAGCGACGGTGCATTCATACCCCATGTGCGCTAGCATCGTGGTCTCTGATTCACCACGTTGTCCTCACTGCTCCCATGCCACGCACACAGGTTGCGGGGTCACAGGGGCAAGAGAGTGGGGGATGAGGGGAGAGAGCGGGAGGAAGAAGCAGAAAGGTGATTGGGAAGGAGTGAAAACACTGAATTGCACTGCCAGCTGCAGGCATGAAATTCGCGTTGCTAAGGCATTCTTCTACAGGCCTCGCCTCGCCATGCCCCACATGCCTCGCCATGCCACCTACATGCACCATGCCACACACCTCAACTATGGCCCACCACATCACGTCACGCCATGCCATCACATCATGTTCCGTGCCCCATCATGCCACCACATGCCACCACATGACATCCCATGCCACCCCACGCCACCCATGCCATCCCAACCCATGGCACATACGTGAGCAGTATCCGGAGGAGGCAAGGTTCGCAGGAGAAGGCGAGGAGGCGGTTGAGGGTGATCTGGTGCACTGGGCGGGGCAGAGCCGCCACCAAACTCCAAGTAAGGGGGGCAGCTGGGAGGGTGAGGGGATGCGGGGTGGAGGGGGGAGAGGGGGAGAGGGGGGGAGAGAGAACGGAGAGCGATAACAAGATGGGAATGGGAGGGTGGCAGCACGACGAGGGATCTGGGTGGGGGAGCTACCGATGATTGCGAGTCAACAGAGGAGCGTTGAGAGATCCAGAGCAAGCGAGCACTGACCGCGAGCAGGATGACGCTGTCCTCGAAGCACGTGGTGACGCCGGATTCGCTCTGCCTATCTCCAGCCCGCCCGCCTCGTTCTTGCTCAGATCCAGATGGCCAGCAGCGCGTGTCGGCTGCCGGGTGTCCGATCTCCACGAAGCAGTGCTGCTCCTCTGACAGCGGCGTCGACAGCAGCAGCTGCGTCATGCCTGGGCAGTGAAGGGCAAATGAGGGTAGGAACACAGAATACGGCAAGCCAAAAGTCTACGAGGAGCGCGTGAGCGCGAGCCCGTGAGCATGCGTGCAAAAGTCCAAGTTGGGGTAAACTCAATCGTGAAGTGCTTATCTCACCGAGCACGCTGTTCATGAGGGTACGGTTCTCGTGGCTCATGGACACCAGGAATCGTGACTTGAGGCGGTTGGCGGACTCCGCCTCCGAGCGCGAATCGCGCAGCTCCGCCACCATCCGCTCCAGCACCAGCAACTGCTGTCATATGCGGCTGCTCGATTGCTCCAAGTCCTGCCGCCATGCGCACAGGTCAGAGAGATCGGTACAAGTGGGTGGCACCGTACCGCAGCTCTTCGTTTTGCGTCTTTTGGGATTCTTCCAGCAACGAAGGTGGATGTAGTAACTCGTGACATGACCGCCCCTCACCTTGATGCATCGCTGCATGTGCTCCCCGCAGACAGGAGCGCCTCCATTTCTCGCCGCAGCACCTGTTGTTGCGCTGCAGCTGCTCCGTGCGCTCCACGATGTGCTCCTCAGCGCTGCGTTGAGCGCGCGGATCTCGCCCTCCTTGCGCTTGATGTCGCTGATGTCCGCCGATACGCCGATCACCCTCACCAGCTGCCCCGACGGGTTCAGAATGAGCGTGTCCGTCACCTGCAAGGTGGCGCGCGCGGGGAGCAGACGGTGAGATGCAGCAGAGAGACGATTGTGTGGCGGCGGGTGGAGGGGGCGGGAAGACGGGTGGGTGCGGAGATACTTGGATATGGAGGGAATGTGGTATGAGAGGTAGCGCGCAGCAAGGCTCGGAAGAATAGCGCGCACTAGTGTGGTGAAGGGTAAGTCGCACCATGGCGGGGAAAGGCGAGCCGTCTCTGCGTCAATCCACACCTCCCCTTGCTGAGCGCGCCGAAACTGACGGTGTGGACGCACAAAATGGCAGTAAATCACCTAGCAAGCGATTAGTAAATCTCGCGGATGTGAGACAATCCAAAACTAATTTAATTCGCGCCTGTGGATGACCAGTCGATTTCGATGACGTAGACGTGCGGGCGGGTCGACGAGGAGGGGAGGGCGCTGCGCAACAGCGGCTGGCAGTACGAGGCGGCTTAGCGAACGGCAAGCGACACTAAAGCTGGCGGACAAGCGAGAACAAAAAAAAAAACGGGGTAGCTTAGAGAACGACAAGCGCTGTTAAAACCCAGGGTCCACAGGTTTCAAAGGTAGGAAGGTTGGTTGGACTTAGTGACAAAACCAAAGGTAGGAAGCTTGGTTGGACTTAGTGACCCAACCAAAGGTAGGAAGGATGAGGCAACTTCCGGAAACTTGAGACTCCGGTTTTAAGGCTGGCGCACGAGCTAGAACATAGAAAACAAGGCTTGACGTCTACGTCGGAAGGGTTGCGTAGAGTTGTTTCTAGTGGTATAAGAAACATATGAAAGAACATTATATATTATACTAATGGAGAAGACATATTACAGAAAAATATAATTAAGTACATGTTTGTACACTTGTGCAGTATTAAAAGGCAACGATTCGGACAGTGATGATATTTTTTATTATAATAAACATTTTTTTAGCTCATACTATATTGCACCATCCAATTACTATAGTGGGTTCGTTGTTTTCAGCTGTAGTTTGATAACGTAGTTAAGCTTTCAAATTAGTATCATGCTCATGTTTCTACATATACACCTAAATGAATTATTGTCCATGCCAAGTTGTTTATTCTGCCCTAACAATACAATCACCTTAACAATGTGAATCGCATCTGCCCCATACATTACACACTATTCTAACGAGAAACAACTGTATTTTTTCCTTTCACACTTAACTCCAATTTGACGCTCCTTTCTTCTTGGTTCTTGGTTCTTGATTTTGGTTCTTGGTGAGTTCTTGGTTCTTGGTTCTTGTGACTACCTAGCTTTCCCGTTTTCTCCAATCCCAGTATCCTCTCCCTCCCATCCCGCCAGCGCCTCTCCCTCCTCCCAACCGCCGTCGCCTCTCCCTCCCATCCCGCCATGGCCTCTCCCTCCCGCCCCGTCATAGCCGCTCCCTTCCTCCTCGCCGTCGCCTCTCCCTCTCTTCCCGTCGTCGCCTCTGGTGGGTGCACGAGCGTGAGCGCGTGTTGCTGAACGACCTCGCGTTGTTTTCACCGTTGTCTCAGGTGCGTAGACGTTTCTCGGACCTTTTTACCTCCCTCCTTTGCTTAGGTTTTCTACTTTCTTCGTGAGTTCTCTATGCCAAGATTTCTTAGCATTACACTCCCATTGCTCTCCTCTTTGGTCGCCTAATGCGCTGGCGCCTAGCGCGCTGGTGCCTAACGCGCTGGCGCCTAGCGCGCTGGCGCCTAGCGTGCTGGCGTCTAACGCGCTGGCGCCTAGCGCGCTGGCGCCTAAGGCCCTGGCGCCTAAGGCGCTGGCGCCTAGTGCGCTGGCGCCTTGTGCTCTGGCGTCTAGCGCGCTGGCGCCTAGCGCGCTGGCGCCTAGCGCGCTGGCGCCTAGCGGCTGGCGCCTAACGCGCTGGCGCCTAACGCGCTGGCGCCTAGCGCGCTGGCGCGTATTGCGCTGGCGCCTAGCGCGCTGGTGCCTATCGCGCTGGCGCCTAGCGCGCTGGCGTGTAACGCGCTGGCGCCTAGCGCGCTGGCGCTTAAAGCGCTGGCGCCTAAGGCGCTGGCGCCTTGTGCTCTGGCGTCTAACGCGCTGGCGCCTAGCGCGCTAGCGCCTAGCGCGCTGGCGCCTAGCGCGCTGGCGCCTAGCGGCTGGCGCCTAAGGCGCTGGCGCCTAGCACGCTCGCGCGTATGGCGCTGGCGCCTAGCGCGCTGGCGCCTATCGCACTAGCGCCTAGCGCGCTGGCGTGTAACGCGCTGGCGCCTAGCGCGCTGGCGCCTAGCGCGCTGGCGCCTATCGCGCTGGCGCCTAGCGCGCTGGCTTCTAAGGCGCTGGCGCCTAGCGCGCTGGCGCCTAGCGCGCTGGCGACTAGCGCGCTGGCGCCTAGCGCGCTGGCGCCTAATGCGCTGGCGATTAGCTCGCTGGCACCTTGCAGCGTGCCGCGCGCTGGTGGCTTGTGCGCTGCTTGTTGCGGCAGTGCGCTGGCGAATTCCTGCAGCGGCCTTGCAGCGCTGCGTGCTGGAAAATTATTGCGCACGCCTTGCTCCAGTGAGCTCACGCCTTGCTCCAGTGAGCTCACGCCTTGCTGCAGTGAGCTCACGCGTTGCTGTAGTGAGCTCACGCGTTGCTGCAGTGAGCTCACGCCTTGCTGCAGTGAGCTCACGCGTTGCTACAGTGAGCTCACGCGTTGCTGCAATGAGCTCACGCGTTGCTGCAGTGAGCTCACGCGTTGCTGCAGTGAGCTCATGCGTTGCTGCAGTGAGCTCACGCGTTGCTGCAGTGAGCTCACGCCTTGCTGCAGTGAGCTCACGCCTTGCTGCAGTGAGCTCACGCCTTGCTGCAGTGAGCTCACGCCTTGCTGCAGTGAGCTCACGCCTTGCTGTAGTGAGCTCCCGCCTTGCTGCAGTGAGCTCACGCCTTGCTGCAGTGAGCTCACGCGTTGCTGCAGTGAGCTCACGCCTTGCTGCAGTGAGCTCACGCGTTGCTGCAGTGAGCTCACGCCTTGCTGCAGTGAGCTCACGCCTTGCTGCAGTGAGCTCACGCGTTGCTGCAGTGAGCTCACGCCTTGCTGCAGTGAGCTCGCGCCTTGCTGCAGTGAGCTCGCGCCTTGCTGAAGTGAGCTCACGCCTTGCTGCAGTGAGCTCACGCCTTGCTGCAGTGAGCTCACGCCTTGCTGCAGTGAGCTCACGCCTTGCTGCAGTGAGCTTACGCCTTGCTCCAGTGAGCTCACGCCTTGCTGCAGTGAGCTCACGCCTTGCTGCAGTGAGCTCACGCCTTGCTACGGCAGCCCGCTTGCTCCTCTGCCGGTGCCTTGCTGCAGGGCCTGTGCTAGGTTTTGGGGCATCCTGAGGCCTCAGGGCAACTTTCCAGAATCTGAAAAAATGCCCTGATTTGTCAGGGCAACTTTTCGGAGGCTTCCTGTAATTTCAGGGCTTCTACAAAAAAATATCCTGGCCTGTGAGGGCAAAAATATAAGCGTTCAGGGTTCATAATAGTTGGTCGGCAAGCCAGGTTGAAGCTGCAGATATGCCTGCACGGGGGAGGGTTCGATCCGAAGACCTCATCTCTCGGAAGTAACTTTCTACTGCCAAGGCCATTTCTGAATGTCTAGATGGTTGATTCAGCGGTTACCGACAATTTTGCCACGGGACCCCCCCCCCCCCCCCCCCCCCCCCTCCCCCCCACCAAAAAACGCGTCAGGGCAGGCCTCGGCATTCATCCTGACGCTACAGGGAAGAACACTACAGCCATTCTGAATGTTCAGGGTATTTCATATAAAAACATCCTGAGGCCTCAGGGTTAAAATTTACACTATTCTGAAATGACAGGGTAAATTTAAAACTACATCCTGAATTCAGGGTAATCAGGATGTTTTGCCCTGATAACGTGGGGCCTGCCTTGCTGCAACTCTCTGGCTCCTTGTAGCATGGTGATGCCCAGCTCGTTGCACCAATGCACCTTGCTCGCTGGAGCCTTGCTGCACACCAGCGTGGTGTGCGTGACCCCAGGGGATCTATGCTTCAAACCACGATTGTGAGTCGTAAAATTCGGTTTCCTTTTGTACTTATCATATTTCAGCCCATACTTGTTTTTCAAGTTCCATTTCACAATCAAGTGTGTGCTCGTAATTGAATACTTCACTCCGTTTTCCGACCACGATTCATTTTCTACTTGACCTGTTTGTTTTGCAAGGTGTGTGAGACGCGTCGTGGGGAGCACTGAGGGGAATTCGAGAGAGAAGACAATGTGGAAAAGGGTGGGAGGAGATTTTGATGGTAGAGGAAGGAAGGCGGAAAGGGGGAGGAAGTGGGGACAAGGTAGCAGTGATTGATAATAATTAACTTATTGCAACTCTTTGTCATGCTTGTCTGCTTTCAATCCTATTTGTCTATGCGTGTGTGTGCCGTGCGGGTGTGTTTGTGCGGGTGTGTGTTCATGTCTTCTCGTTATGTTTGTTTCACTGTGGGGTTGCGTGGTTTGTCGGTTACCGTATGTGGGTTGAACGTTTGTTATGTGTGTTTGCATTCGTGTTTGTGGGATGTGTGTTTCAAAGTGTGGTGTTAATACCCGTATTCTCCCGGATATAACACCCTAGGGTATAGCTAAAAATTGTCAGAACATTATAGCTTACTTATTTGTGTAGGCTATAGTGGGGTATCCCATAGGGGGTACAACCCAATTAGGGTTTCATATTTGTACTCACTTCATTCATAGTTCATTCATTCACGTTTCTATTTTCACATGGAATCAGAGCAAGTCCCATCCTAGGGACTGTTTTCTAGGGCCCACCGAAGCGCGCCCCGAGGCGCGCGTTCTTTTTTTCTCGCGACCCTCCGTGTCGCCCTTCCCCTCGCGGCCCCGCCGCCCTTCTCTCGGCCCCGCCGCCCTTCAGTTGCGGCCCCGCCGCCCTCTAGTCGCGGCCCCGCCGCCTCCTCCTCGCGGCCCCGCCGCTTCCTCGTCGCGGCCCCGCCGCCTCCTAGAAGCGGCCCCGCCGCTTCCTCGTCGCGGCCCCGCCGCCTCCTCCTCACGGCCCCGCCATTTCCTCGTCGCGGCCCCGCCGCCTCCTCGTCGCGGCCCCGCCGCTTCCTCGACGCGGCCCCGCCGCCTCCTCGTCGCGGCCCTGCCGCTTCCTCGACGCGGCCCCCGCCGTTTCCTACCAGCGGCCCACCAACCGCCCTACCTGCGGCCCTACCGCCGCCCTACCTGCGGCTCTCTGCCGCCCTACCTGTGGCCCACCCGCCGCCCTACCTGCGGCCGTCCCGCCGCCCTACCTGCGGCCCACCCGCCGCCCTACCTGCAGCCGTCCGCCGCCCTACGTGCGGCCGTCCCGCCGCCCTACCTGCGGCCCACCCGCTGCCCTACCTGCGGCCGTCCGCCGCCCTACCTGCGGCCTGCCCGCCGCCCTACCTGCGGCCCACCCGCCGCCCTACCTGCGGCCCACCCGCCGCCCTACCTGCGGCCCACCCGCCGCCCTACCTGCGGCCCACCCGCCGCCCTACCTTCGCGGCCCAGCCGCCCTACCTACGCGGCCGAGCGGCAGCCGAGCCGCCTAGCAGCAGCCGAGCCGCCCAGGAGCCGCCGCGCCGCCGGGCAACCTTCCTGGAGCAGCCGAGCCGCTCAGCAGCAGCCGAGCCGCCCAGGAGCAGCCGAGCCGCCCAGGAGCCGCCGAGCCGCCCAGCAGCAGCCGAGCCGCCCAGCAGCAGCCGAGCCGCCCGGGAGCCAAGCCGCCCAGCAGCCTAGCCGCCGAGTCGCCAGGCACCTTCCTGCCGAGCCGCCCGACCTGCCCTGCTCGGTGAGCACCGTTCCGCTGTCACTGCGTGCCCTTCCCCTACTGCTTGCACTGCTCCACTGTCGTCGTCATGGCTACACCCAGTGTCCTCGCTTTTGACGCTGAGGGTCGAGCCATTGACTTTGAGGTCTGGCTCGACGGCCTGCAGCTGTTTTTACAGTGCGATAGGGCGGACGGTCTGTCTCTCTTTGACCTCACCTCTGGCGCCGTCCCTGCCCCTGCTGCTGATGCTGACGCCACTGTTTGCTCTCAGTGGGCCACGCGCGATGCTGCTGCACGCCTTGCTGTGCGTCGCCACCTGCCTACCGCTGAGCGCGCGCACTTTAGCCAGTACAATAGTGCTCAGACCTTGTACGACGCTGTGGTTGCGCGCTACTCCTCCCCTGCCACTGCTGCACTGAGCCGCCTCTTGCTCCCCTTCCTCTTCCCTGACCTTGCCGCCTTTCCCACTGTCGCTGATCTCATCACGCACCTCCGCACTAGTGACACTCGCTACCGCGCTGCGCTTCCGGCTGACTTCTGCGCCAAGAACCCCCCCCCATGTACATCACTCTCTACTTCTTAGTCACTCGCCTCCCTGACTCCCTTCGTGTAGTCCGGGACCACTTCCTCGCGGTCTGTCCCACCACCCTCACAGTCGACAGCCTC